TACCTCTTACTCTTGGCGATTTTTCCTGCGTTGAGATTTTTACATAATATTTATTGAATAATTTTGATGAGAAATGTAATCGAAAGTCAAGTCTTGGGCTTGTCCTTATAGTTGATGCATGAAAGATGAAGATGGAGATGGAGATGGAGATGGAGATCTAGATCTACTTTAATGTGACCAAAGACAACGGGTTTCCACTGATGAAGACTCGTGTATATTTTTCACTCAAACTCTAACTTGTAGAGTTGTGTATATTTGATGGATCTGTTGTTTGAATTTTATTTTATTTTTTTGAAAAAAAAAATAGCATTACCAGTAATAGTCCGGTTGATTATTTTGATTTTTTTAAATTTTTTGTATAGAAGCATCTCAAAATTATTTAATTGTAACAAATAATTAGTTTAAAGCAGTAATATTAACTTATAAAATTTAGTAGATGTGTATAAACTAAATTTAACGTTTAAAATTAAAACTTGTTTAAATCAAAATCTAATTTATTATGCTCTAAACCTACACTAAGTTGTAAATGCATCAGATTTTTCTTGTAACACACGTCTGCATTTCAATTATTTAGCGTAATGCATAAGTTGCTTAACATAAGCTGGGCACAAGTTTGAAGCTTGAGTTAGCAAGGGAATTTTTTTAAAAAAATTACAGTATTATGTTATATTTATTGATAAGAAGTCAAAAGTATAATAATGAAAAATAAAAACTTATAGAATTAATGGTCTTTAAATTTTAAAAGAAGACATATATTAAATTTTGAAATTTTAAAGAAATCATAAAAATTCGTCAAAAATATATGTAGTGACATTAGATGAAGCAACTAATTTTAGTAACCTCAGTCAAAATAAAGATTTGATAAAATTAAATAATAATATAAAATTTATTTTATAGTCTAAAAAGGTTAATATATAATATAGATTAGCACAAAAAAAAAGGTTAATATATATCAGTAACTATAAATTTAAAAACAAAATTCTTAAAAGTAAATTTAAAATTTAAAAATAATAATTTTTATAAATATAAAGATAGATATTTGTAAAAAAAATAATGTATATGTATATATATATAATAATAAAACTAATAATTTTAACTTTTAAAATAAATGGGCAAATGAGTAAAAATAAATAATAAAAATATTATAATAAGAAAAGTTTAATTATAAATAATTCATATTTTATTTTTAATAAATTATAATTTAAAAATATGCAAATGAGAAAAAAGTTTAAGAATGTTATAGTCTTGGCATGTAAAAGAACTAAATCCACCCTAATCTATGTGGAAGATATATATAGATGTGAATTTTGGTTTTATTTTCTAACAGGTAACAGGTACCATGCAAATAACCCAACATGAAAAGATACAAAAACTGGTCTTCATAAGGAAATCTAAGTCTCGAATAGATGTCAGAATTTGAGCTGTTCTTGATCATGGATATGACTGCATGCCAACCTCATGACAATGGACGATATATATTTTGAGTAAATATTATTTTTATGGGTCTAACTTTTTATAAAAATTAACAAAGATAACAATTTAGACTAATTATAATAATTTGTTCATTTATCTTAAGGTGATGATCATTTTATTTTTACCAAGAATGCTCACAACTACATAAAAAACTTGAGTTATTAGCAAAGACACGTCCTTTGATATTTAAAACCCTCCTTATTTAAGCCATTGAGCATGAGTCATTGGGTTAAACTCGATCCACAAGTTCAAGGTGCTCTCCTTGTAATCTTAGAAGTTAGAAGCAAGTCGCAATATAATTTTTAATGATTTTTTTTTAATTTCTTGACTAATGGTACTCATTAGAAAGATCTAGTAAAATAAAGTCTTATCAAGCATTTATCTTTTCTTTTTTCAATTATTTGTTAGCTGAACACTTAACTAGTGTTTGGCTAAACTTATTTTGAGTTTTTGTTTTTCTTAAATAGAAAAATTAGATCAAACAATTTTTTTATTTAAAGAAAGCCTTTTCAATAAAATTTGAAAAGCTTTAAAAATGTTAAACTTACAAGTTTTTTATTTCTAGAGTTTATATATTTTTTATTTCAAATCCCAATATCTAAAAACACACTATAAAGCAATGAAAAGAGCAAACTATAAGAAATTAACTGAAAAATATCTTTTAAAATTTTAAAAACATAAAATTAGTTTGGTTTTGTTAATTTGAGTTGGTTTAGTTGTTTTATTTAACTTATAAATAGATCATTATTTAACTTATACATATTTGACATTCAAATAAAAAGAAATGATAATAAGACATTTTTTTTAAAACACATTCTTGCCTATTAACAAGAAATTTATTGGAAACTATAAAAATTGTGTTCAACTTATTAGAATAATTTAATTTATATCGTGAATTATTTTAAAATATTTTATTTGATACATAGCACGTTCTACTAGACCTATCTTGATTACTAGTATTAAGTACAATCATACTTTAAACTTAAATTATAAAAGTTTTGGACGACTTGCACTTGAGCATAATTACTAGTATTAAGTACAATCATGCTTTAAACCCAAGTTATAAAAGTTTTGGACGACTTGCACTTGAACATAATCTTACGTAAATTACACTTTGTACTATTTTAGTACAAAAAATATACTTTGTACTATTTTAGTTTCACTTTTATTTTTATTCGTGTGAATAATGTGTATATACAATAAATTAACTATACAACAAATTAACCATTGGGTGTTGAAAATAAGGGTGAATAGAATATGATAATTATCACATCATTTCTTAATCAAGTATTAAAATACTTTTAATTTATTTTATTACCTTTCTCTCTTTACTCTCTTCACTCTCCTCTCTTCTCTATTTTTATATATTTTTTAAATATTTAAAATTTAAAAATATATTAAATTATTTATATATTTTCTATAAATTAAAAATAAATAACTTATACAAAGTAAAAAATAAAATTTAATTTAATAAATATAGACAAAAAAGTAATTTTATCATTTTTTTTATACGTTCATGTTATATATATTTTTTTATCAAGTTTGCATCAAACATTGTATATGATAAAAGTTTATGATAGTATCCTATTTTACTTTTATCTAATACCGGGCATTAAGATTTTTTTAGTGGCTAAGATAGAATAAAAATAGATAAGATAAGTGTATTAAATAAAAGTATAATAGAATAACATCGTGATAAGTTTTTATTAAAGTAGAATAAAATTAAGATGGATAAAATTATTGAATATATATAATACGTATTTTATCTGATCTATCCTTATGTTGTCCAAAAAAAAAAGCTCATAATAATGGCATTCCATTCAATAAACTTAATGGAAAACATTATTGGTGTAATTGAAGAATCACAAGTCTATCCAATCAAGTAAAAAAGGTTAAGGAATGGAGTTCTTTTCAGTTCAAATGAGAGGATCTGGCTATGTTATGGATTCCATAGTTCTCTTACTATCAAGTGCTCTGAGGTTGTCCTGTGGCTTCCATATCTTAGGAGCTTCATTATCTCTGGTCTTATCCATTTTTTGGAGTGAAGGGAACTCTACCTCGTCCTCTCCTTTTATCATTTTTTTCAAACTTTGGCATAATTGTAAATATTTTCCAAAGTGGTTGAAGGCACGCACATAATTTACTCTAGGCAAAGGGTATGGTAGCATGTATATAGTATACATATATTAACCAATTTCATATGTTTTTAGTGACATACGTTTGTAGTTACAATCCTATGATTGTATAATTTTTTTTAATAGTACGGATATTTGAATTAAAAATATACTGTCTTATGATTTGATTTATTTTTATTTTTGATTTAATTCAGCATCAATTTTAAATTCCTCGTTTTTAATTGTTTAAACAAGTTCGTAAAAGAGTAAGCCTTTTCAATTTCTATGAATTCAACTATATTTATTCATATAAACAAATTATCTTTAGTAAAGGAGTAAAATTAAATTTATTGGTTTCAACACGCAACATAATAATACATATGCTATGGACTTTGCGTGTTATTCATTGTAAGACCTCTGACACAAATTTCCTTTTTTGGTAACATTGACACTAAAGTATTTGATTAAATACTCTTTCTCAGGAAAATTATGGTTCTATAAAACATAAAATTCCATCTTTTGCAGGTAAGTTGGTAAGCGCTCCATTGGGTTTATTTAAGGAGGTTAAATGGAAAACTTGTGCTGGTACTCTGGTCTGTGACGGTGATTAGGCTTCCTGTGGGCTGCATTTGTCATTGTATTGGTATGATAAAAAATGAGATTAGTTTAATAGGGGGTTGTTTTATTGATTCCACGAAATCTGTTGTTAAAGTTTATAGTTTTTGTTTTTGGGTGGTGGGGATCGTTTTCAGTTGTTAGAATTTTTTTAAAAAAATTTAGTAGTATTATTATTTTTTAATGCTCTTCACTAATGTTTTGAATTAGGATAAATTGCTAGATACGCAATTATAAATCATTTACAATTTTGGACCATATGCGCAAAATCCCTTGCAAGTGCTGTCATTAAAATTTGCTTCGATATGGAAAGCATTAATTAATCGAAATAATGTTATATAAAGTTAAAATTAACTTAAGATAAAGAATATGAGTAAAACTAAGAAAGTGTAAGAAACTACTCCAAATCTCCCATACTTTAAATACTCTGAGCAGATAGATTTTTATATCTTATTTCAGGTTCAATATTTTAAAGGCATTCCTTTGTATGTGCTATAGTAAGGACCTCAAGTATTTATTCAGCAAACTCTTATCACATTAGAGTTTATAACATAAATTTAATCATAAAATTTATCAAAATAAACTAAAAACACTTATTTTGATCAACTATGTTATCGGTTTTGAACGAACTTGTATGATTCTTCACTGATTCTGAAATCAAATCAGTTTTTCTTTATCGTGAAATCAAATTAGTTTTTTTTCGTTGAACAAAACTGTACAAACCAGTTGACTTGTTTTTCCAGTTAAAACCATTGAATTTTATAGCGGATCAAAACTCACCCAAAATCCAAACGTTTCAAACTAGACACTTCACACTCATGATTTTAAACAAAAGATACAAAATGACAACAGAATTCTTGCACTATGCCAGTTTACATGGTGCACCAGGCCGAAAATCTGCATACAGGCCCAAGCTCAGCATAATTCCATTTCCATTGTCCGTATCTCGGAACTAACTGTACCTAAAATTACTTGAAATTCATGATCATGGCAATGCGGGCTTTAAATTACCAAAAAGTTAGTACGGCCCTCTAATTACATGGCTTAGCCACTGCCCAATTGCCCAGAAAAAGTATACCAGCCCACATAATTTGGATCATTGACATCACCTTTAAGAATACCTACTAGGTCGTTTCCGCTGTCTCTGTGTCCTGTTTTGCAAGAAAGAAGAAAGGATTTCATCTTTTTCTTCCATATTGTTTGTGTGTTCAGCCACACCACCATGCAAAACAGTCTCCTCTTCAACATGCTTGGACATTGACGGCCCACCATCGTCAGATATGATGATGATTGGCTTGTTTGCACAATGCTCGTCACATGGTAATGCAGATCCCTTTTTCAATTTGGAAGAAGAGAATGCACCACGTCCTTTAGCAGCTTGACTCCTTTTCTTTGGTTTGTTTCCCATAAGGGACACAAGAGGCGGATCATCTTCGTCACCCGTCAAAGTGTTTGCATCTTCTGGTTTTCCCACTCGTCTGTCAGAACCAACATTCTGCTGCACGAACAAATCTTTAGTACCATCTGTAGTATCAAATGACTGAGACAACCCCACTTGCTCACCAGATGGGATTTGATTATCAGCCTCCTTAAATACAACTGTAGTCCTAGGAGAAAGGGAAGCTTGACTCAAAGTTTTGGTACATTTAGATAGCTTCTTTTTCGATTTGTTTTGTATAAAACATGCAAGAGTTACGTTGTCCCAATCTTGATTTTCAGAACTCTCATTACTGGTAGATTGACTCTCTGAACTCTCGACACAAGTCTTGACCTTGACACCCTGTACTGTATCCTCTACTTCATTGGGATGAATTTGCGTCCTTTTTGCATGTTTTTTAGACCTCATTTTCTCAGGAACCTTGCTAGCAAAACCTGGTACTTCTTCACTACAATTCTTGACCTGATCATCACTATGTACCCCTACATCTTGTACTTCCTCAGTATGTCGAGCTTTTTTTACACGTTTTCTAGATCTCATTTTCTTGGAAACATTGCTGCATAGAATAAAAATGGAATTAAAACAAAGGCACACCAAAAGCAATATTCAATTTCAAACATTAAGCGGCCAGCATAATATAATGAAACAACAACCCTAACAAAGCTGACATCATATCTGTAAGTTGTTAAGATTTAAAAGGAAAATGAAAGATACTAAAGGTGGAGTACCTTGACTTCCTCTTGCGCTTCTTCCAGTGATTCGGAGCAGCACCAACGCTAGATTTAGGAGCTAACATATGTAACGGTAGAAAATCATCCAGTGTAAGGGCTGGGCGTTCAGACTCTCGATCAACAAAGTTATTGGCAACAATAGACTTTTTCTTCTTTCTTGCTTCTTGAAGCAAGGGCACTTGTTCAGGACATATCACCTTCCATCTCCTGATCAATATAAAGAATACACAATATAATTTTTAAAATAGATTTTTCATCAACGAAGTTAATTCTGAACTCATACTTCCGGCATTGAGAATCAGTACGGGGAGGCACTTCTTCAGCTACCTTAGACCAGCAATATCCATGCTTTGCAATTGCAACTTCTAATTTTAAATCCTCTTCCTCAGTCCATCCTCCCCATTTCAAAGAAGGATCCAGACTGTTGAGGTATCTGCCATAAGAATGTCAAGTACTTTAACAAGAACCCTTTGTCATAAAAAAATTATGTCATCAAATTTTAAATAAAATGCACTACCTGTCCCTACACTGAGATTGGATCCGGCCAGGAACAAACTTGGCTATTTGATTCCATTTCCGTCCAAAAAGCATGACAGCTACAGTTAAGCGTATATTCTCCTCTTGAGTAAAGCTTCCTTTCCTCTCGGGACAGAGGGATTTTTTCCATCTGCATCAATTATAATTTAGCGCATCAGTGGACAAAATGCAGCCACCAATAAAAAACAACTTCAGTTCTCAAATATACTTAAATCCATGTCAATTTATTGAACCAAACACAGTTATACAAGTTTCAGCTTTTAACATAAGTGACTATGTTAGTGTATAATAGTCTTATTACATTTTCAAGAATATGCATGTCAACCCTATAAGAGAAACAAAGGAAATAAAGAATCTTGAACTACTCCAAAGGGACGTATTCTTGTCTCCCAGTCATGAAGATACCAAGGCAAGCCACTTTCAAATTTTGACAGGGTTTAAGAAGCACTGTGCCAAATGAGGCAGGAAAATAATGTGTTTCAAAGGCTAACCTCTAGGAGGACACAATTGTTTGTATATAAAACAATTCAACTTCTCTAAAAACATAAAATATCACCATCTTAAAGATGTGACCAGATATTCCCTCCCAATTTAAACCAGATTGTAAATTACTAACTAATACAACAGGGTAAAAAATTATTTGAGTCACTAAAACAATCACAAATGCTTTAAGCTCAACTTACAGCAGCATATATACTTTTCTCAGTCTTCCAATTTTCAACTATAATACCACATAAACAAATAAGGAGTTGAGATTTAAACAATACTGAGCTGAAATCTAATTATTGAATTGACAGTCGCTTTATGTCATGAAGACCAAATGATATGCCCTTGGGAAAAAATGATTTCAAATCACCAGCAAAACAGAAATTGTAAACTAGACATAAAATGTAGTGCATTATCTTAATTTGGGTGGATGTCGACCATGAGAACATTATTTGATTTTAGACAAAGGACTTGTTGCAACCATATGAAAGCTGAAATTACAAATATAGGACAAAATAGCTAACCAACCTATTTGAGCACTGGGTTCCTGTTCGCCGTTCTAGAACTGAAGCCACAGACTGCCAGTCGTTCTCACCAAAAAATGTCACAGCAGAACAGAGTTGAGCATCTTCTTCCTCAGTCCATTCACTATTGAGCATGGAAGGATTTAAGCTCCGTTGATATCGGGCCAAGCATTGAAATGGAGTCCTGTTTGTGGCCAATGATACAGCAATATCAAACCAGTTCCTGATGCCCATATCTTGGACAAGAAGCAAAAGAGACCTATCCTCTTCACCAGTCCATGTGCCTTGGTTGATCAAAGGATCTTCACAATTCAACCACCTGGGGTTGCAAACCATTAAAAACATTAGTAAAACATAAGTATGGACTCCATCCATTCATATGTATAGACAGTATTCTATGGTCTACATTAGATTCAAGAATGAGTGTCACAGACATCTGTGATGACAATCATCAAAGACATATTAAGCACCACCATGTTAAAAATTATATCATATACAGTCCCACCTGCATGATATATGTTGATCTTGAACTCTTATTGAAATCCAAAAATGGTAAACTGTCTGTGATGGTGATCGTCATAGATGTCTGCAATGATGCGGAAAGATATTTTTCACAGAAAGGCAATAAACATGAAACAAAACTCAATGAACTGTGTGGACAAGATTATGAATATGACACAGTGATAAAGAAGCAGCTAAACACACATCTGCTGTGCATAATGAGACAAGTTGATCCCTACCTCTTCCCCCACCCCCAAAAAAAACGGATGGATCGATAGAGCATTTTAATACCCAACCTGAATTAGGTGTAGAAAATACATTATTTCATTGTAAGCAGGATGCTAATAAAAGAGATTGCCAGATTGTTTTCAACTTGAACAAACAGCAAGCATGGCTAGTAAATCATAGAAACTCAATGTCTTAGCATCTCTTATCTAATTACACATAAAATAACATTGCAAAATGTTCAATCCACAGTATACAATAACAGTCAATGTAGTTCTCCAGGGACAAGATATGATATGAAGCACGAGCATAGCACAATGACAGAAATATAAAGCACTTTATCATAACTTAAACAATATTTTCAGGCATATATACACAAAAAATATAAGTTCCACATCCAGGAAATTCATACCTTGATTCACATTCAGCACCAGTACGGCCAACAACATACATGGAAGCTAACCGATCCCAATTAACTTTAGGTAAAAATTCTCTAATCCTCTCTGGTGTAATTTCAAGATCTTTAACAGATGAAATTATGCCATCCAAGTCATTTGCATCTCCAAATGAGCATTCTGAACTGTCAAGGAGGTACATCAAGGGGAAAAAAACCAAAACAAAAGAAGGACAAAGGTCAAATGGCACGATTAGTAATTTAGCAAAATATGACAAAACTTAACTGATATTACCTTATTCTATCTACAGAAATTTGAAGCAGTATTTCTTGGAATTGTTGCTTAATTCCTTTCAAAAGATTTTCTCTTTCTACATTAGACCATTTTTTCCTATCCAATGAAAGCGGAAATCTTTCCAGTACCATCTTATAATTAGCGACACGAGAATTCTCCTCCGGGCCACAACACATTGCAGATACTTTTTTATGGCTCTGCAAAAAAGCAAATCAAGGATTAGCATTTTAACCAATGACAATACTAAGGATGTCACAAATTCTAGGATACCAACCAGCATATACGTAACTACTAAATTACCTAAGTTTCTGTATTCGTTTGTTGAATTTTTACATTAGGCTTAGCCAATAAGATCATTATTAAGCAATATATTTGAAACCTAAATCCCCAATAGACAGACACTCAAACACAAAAACATGAATCAGATAACAAAGATTATATTTCACACAACCAATCAAACACTGCAAAGATTAAACACAGAAACTATGAAGCCCATACTGATAGGTCTGTGGGCTCACAATTGGTTAAGCCCAAAACTTTTGAAAAGATAAACTTCAACGCAAACTTTGAGATACAGCTCCAATACTTTAAATATGACTAAAATTACGTATGACTTTATCTTTTATTTTGTATCCTTAATGGTCTATTTGGATGCAAGATGAAATAGAAAGAAAAGAAATAGAATGGAAAATATTTGATGTTTGATTGGGTTGAAATAAGAAGGAAGGAAATGATAAAAAAAAATCCCTTCTACTTGTTTGGAAGAGTAAAGAAAAGTGTAAAAAGAAATAATTAAGTTGTATTAAAAATTAACATTGAATTAAAAATTTAAAATTTTTTCTTAATAAAAAATTCATTTCTGTTTTTTTAATTTTATATTATTTTGATATTTAAGAAAACGAGAAAAAAAAAAACTGCCCATTAGCCTCTCCCCATTTTTACTATTCATGTCCTTCAATTTTGGAAGGATTTTTTTTTGTGGTGGGGCCCACAAAAAAATTCCCTCCCTTCGCTTTCAGTGGAGCATCCAAACAAGAGAAGTTGACATCTTCCACTCTATTTTTTCCCTTCCCCTAATTTCCATAGCAACCAAACAAGGCATAAAGATATAGTAATAGTAGGCACTTACATGGATTCAGAGCGTGTCTAATCATTCTAGATATGTGTTCATTTGCATCAAACACGAGTCTAGTGAGTGAACACTATTCTATGTAACACTTATATTAGTGTTTATCGAAAAGAAACATGCATCCAAACATATACTAAAAAATTTTGAGTCATACTAATGATGCTTTTGGTGATGTTGTGACATGGGTTAGGGAAAATATGTAACTTGGTAGCATGTTTATGGGGAAAGTGTAGGTAGATATGGGCAATGGAAAAACTTGTAACTATGACTTTTTGCTACAATAACAAGTATTGTTTTTGTATACTGCAATTGCAATGATCATTAACCAATATAGTAAAATAGTTATCAATCTTAAATAGTGGAGCATAGCAGTTGACTACTATTCAAAATTTTTGTATCCAAATTAAACAATTATACTACATACATATAAATGCTAAAAATTATAAAAGAAAACTCAAAATTCACAACATATTCATAATTAACAACAAAAATTCATTGGTCTTAACCAAAACATAAAAGTAAATAACAGTAAAAATCAGGGAAACAAACAAAATTCAAAAGATATACTCATATTTCATATATAGGGCATCTTAAATATTCAATAAAACATGAGGATGAGGGTGCATAGTTCAAAACACAGGTGATTAAAAGTTAAAAATAGATAAAAGAATGAAGGGTGAGTGTTGCTACTCGCTAGGAATGCTGCATGAGATGAGTGGGTGTTGGTGACACAAAATACAGAGAAAGGAGGGTGGGCGTTGATCGAGGTGTGGGTCTTTGGCCACAATAGCAGCTGCCACAGTCACTATTCAAAAACACTACACTGTAGAAATTTAGTGGCTGCCCAAGGCTGCCCCTGCATTGCTATACTGCTGTCGCAGTGCTAGTGCACACTTTTGATAACTATGAAATAATAATGTAAATTGTATTAATGAGAAATTTTTTATGTCTATTTATAAATATTGTGCATTTATGTAAAGTTTTTCTTATTCATGCTAACATATCTAGCCCATATCATATCTGAAAGTTTTAAGAAATTTCCTTATTCAAGTATCTCTGTCGCATCATACCCGTGTTGTATCAAGTATCCAAGCTTCAGATGAGAGAAGTAGAATCATACCCCTACATTACTATTTGATATTATCCACCCAAATCCAATTTCTGTATAAAACACAGATAACAACTATAGTTTTTGTAATGCAAAAATTTATGTTTGAAACAAAGGAAAATATAAAATAACCAGTAATCTTCCAAGGGATAAATATACACTATCTGACCAGTGACCACCATTTCACACAAAATTAGTATGAATCATAACTCAGATTTCAGCAAACTACAAAGCATTACACAACTAACCTTTGAATTCTTTGGAGCAGAAGATTTTTTGGCTGATATTAACTGAACACGTGGATCCTTTTTCAGCGATAACGCATGCCCTGTTCTTCTAATGCAAGAAAGCTGGAAGTCCTTAAGAAGTTTAACTTTGTTCCTTAGCTGTTTATTCTCCTCAATTTTAGCTTCGAGCTCAATCAACTTACTTCTAAGAAATCTCTGCAAAGACCTGTTCTTCTGGATAGCATCAACAACAGCATGAGCTGAAGGAGGAAAACTTGTTCTATTCTTTGGTAATTTGGATGATTTGAAGGCATCAGGTTGACAACTCTCATCAAAATCAAAATGCTGTACTTCCATGTTCTCAGTCAACCAATCAGTGATCTCATCAGGATCCTGAGAAACAGGACATAAGTCACCACCATGTGATTCATAATGGATTGAATCCTTAGCAATGTCACCATCACATTCTGGTATTGATGTCTGATCCTCCTCAGGCAATGTTTTGGTTTTTCCTTCATGTGGACCTGATATTGTCAGCATGCAAAGCATTAGTGGAAAAAAAAAAAAAAAAAAACAGAAGCCAGAAGCCAGAAGCCAGAAAAGATAACTGACAACAAGATCACTTGGAGAATAGATAAACATACGCCCAACTCAACATACATCTAAAGTCAAGCAATACAAGAGTCACAAAATACAGAATCGACACTACGACACGAGCAGAAAACTACTTCAAAGAAACATTTAGAACATGTTTGTTTGCATTTTCAAAATGCAAACAAACATGCTCTTAGTATTCTAAAACTCATTTAAGAGCATAAAAAAATACATGAACAAGTACGAATATACATGTCACAGCACACATTAACAGCAAACCAAAATCAAATAATGTTAAGCCTCAATCACCACATACGTGAAGTAAAATTATTTAAAAATTTACTTAACGCTTTCGTTGTACTGTTATCCCTTCAATTCACATTCGGCTTCACGTAAAGATAAAAAGAAAATTCTAAATGACGAACAAATTTCGGAATCGATATTCAGCAGCAACTACAGCAAAAACGCGCATAGAATACCTTCGCCGTACTTAGAAAACCGTTTCATGATGGCGCGAACCGTCTCAAAATCATCCACGTCGTCATCATCCGACTTGGCTGTCAACGGCGGTGGCAGAGGCGGAATAGAAGACAAAGGCTGGTAGAGGCTTTGCACTCTTTTGAGACATTCGAGGTCGTCCTGTTCATCGTCGGAATCAGTGGTGACCGGAACGATGGCGTCGCCGGAGTCCAAGAGCGGGTCTTCCGCCGGAATTTGACCGGCACGGACGTCGAGGTTAGGACCGGCGGCAGAGTCGCTGTTGGCGTGGTGGCCGGCGATCATGCAGGCTCGGGCAATCGCAGCCATGTCCTCTTTGAAGTCATCGTCATCGTCGTCGTCGGTGGCGGAGAGATTGTCTTTTTCGTGTTCATCGGCGCGTGGAGTCATTGGATTGGGATTGTTAGGGTTTCTTCTGGTTTTGAGAGAGTGTGATTTGAAGGTGGTGGTGGCGATTCTGATGGGTTTGAATTGCCGCGTGTTTTTGGAGGAATGGGGAAAACAATGACAGGGTTCAGACGACGGCGTTCTGGTTGAGACCCTCTTTTGTTGCCGACTTCTTTTTTTTCTTTTCTTCGCCTTTGTTGCGATAAATAATTGTGTGTTATTATTATTATTATTATTATTATTATTTTTATTTTATTTTTGATTATCAAGTGTTTTATATTTTTCGCTTGTCGTTTAATTTTTTTTATATGATTTTTTTAAGGCGTATTTGTGAACAATAAGTATAAAAATAAAATACGAAATAGTTAAAAAGTATTTGTTATATTAAAATATAAAACATATTAGTGACAATAATTATAAATTAAGAATATATTTAGAAAAAATTATAAAAAAATTGACTTTATATAAGTTTTAAAATTTATTAAAATAAATTTTATGATAAATTTAATAATATAAATTAATCCTATAATAAGAATTCATTAAATAATCCTTTTAATTAAGTTATTATCCATGTTACATATCATAAAAGTTATCCTTTATCTTTTTTATAATTTTAATTTTTAATATAAATTCTTTAACAATTTTTTTATTTTTATTTATAAATAACAACAAATAATTAAAGTTCATGTTAAAAGTATTTTTTATAATTAATATTTTTTAAATAATCAAAAGTTATCAGTTTAAAAGTAATTGAAAAATATCCAATGGAATATAATAATTATTTTTAATCAATTTTTATTTACTTATCCTAAAAAAGTGTATATAATTATTAAAAGTATAATATGTTTAAAGTCTACTCATCACTCACTAAGATAAAATAAAGACAAGTAGAAAAATATAAGAACAAAAAATATATACAAACTATTATTTTATATTGTATTTTATGTTCACAAAAAAATTTAATACATAAGAATTAATTATGTACAAATAATAAAATTATTTTTATAAAAAATAAATGTAGCAATGATGATACTAATTAAAAACAATTATAATAGATTTAAAGTGATGCAAATAATAATGACTCAAAATAATAGTAGTGATAAAAATGATGAAATAGTAATAACATTAGCAGCAATGATAATAAAAATTATGATAGTAAATAATCACTATGATAATAGTTGAAATAAAACAATGTAAATAGTAATAATAGTGGTAACAGATAGGAACAATAATAACAACTTGAATTATGGTTGTATCTATTAAAGAAATTATTTGGCCTAAACTTATTCTATTGTATTTCTTTATAATATGACAATGAGACAAAAAAAAAAAAAAAGACTAAGAACAAGAAGATAAATTTATTTAAATAATATTATTTAGAAAACAAATTCTCAAAATAGATTTATTTTAAAACATACTCCTTGTCTAGGCTAATTTTTTGTCAAGTTAGCAACTGTCTCGCACCTGCATGGTCGATAACAATTTTTTAATATTTTTTAAATACTCTATCATTCCAAAATGTCTGATATAGCTTTATAAGCTGACACGTGGAATTGAACGAATAAAAATAAAATAATAATAAAATGAGTATCGGTCCTATAGATGCGATAGTAGTCACATGTCATAATAGAATTTGTATTATCCCACAAGCGACGATAGACGTTTGAAATCAACGGTTAGGGAGAAAGATGGACACATGTTGAAATCGTAGCTGTATCGGATTTAGAAAATCAACAGAGCTATCGACTAAGTTGGGGCGATACTAGTAGAAGTTGGACATCTGGCTTCGTCGAATCGGGTGCTGCGAACGGCTTCATCTTCCCCTTCCTCCTTCCCTCTCTCCATTAACGCCGGCATCAAGAAAAATTTTCATTGTAGCTGTGAAATTTTTCTGATCAAGTTTTTGATTTTGTAGTGTATTCAAAGGAATCTAAAGGTAAACATAACATTATGAAAAAAAATAAGTTTAATTTTATTTGTAAAAAAAAATAAATTGTTTCTACATGTTTTGAAATTTTATACATTGCAGTCCATTTTCGTTGGTCTTCTGCACATTCATTTTTGTCGGTCCTCTGCCAGTCCATTTTGTCCGATGACAGGTTAGTGATGAATGGAAGTTTAATATATTTTTATTATATTTTATTTGAATCCTTAAATTTTTATTATATAATATTATGTAAAAAAAATTGTAATATCTGAATTATTTTTTGTTTGAAAATTAGATTTAGAAATAGATTAAATGATGTTGTATTAGGAGTAGTTTAGCATTAAATTTAGAATTTTATGTATATATGTACATTTAAGTGAGTAAATTACGTTTAACTTTGTACTTAATTAATGTAAAAATAGATGAAATATTTCTTGTAATTAATAAATAAAATATATTAATGGTATAGGATTTTTATAAAATAGCAAAATGCATAATTATTTTAAAAAATGCATAGTAAAACATGAATTATTTATTAAAATTTGTAATAAATTTTATTATTGTTTAAATTAATTAAGAGGGTGATTAAAAGAAAAAAATGTAATGTAAAAAACTTTAAAATGTAGAATAATTTTTATTAGAAATAAATAAACTTTTAGGTCAATAGACTTTTAAAAATAGTAAATAGTACATGAAAAGATGTTATAAGTAAATTAGAAATTATTAAATTTTTAATAATAAACTTGATCAGTCTCGAATCAGTCTCATAATGGAATCATTTTTAATTTGATATGAAGAGGCAATTTAAATGATAATTAAAATGAAATATATATAGTTCAATTGAAATAATCAATATGTACTATCGTATAAAAAATAATTATTTAAATAATTTATTTTAGGATTCATAAAAATTATTAATTGAAATATTTTTAAATAAAAAAATATTACATTTTAAATATATAAAAAATATTTGGTTGTTGTAAAATACTAACAATATCAACATATTGCCAATAATCAATACTAACAGATGCACAAACAACTATAACATGAGAGCATGGAAATCGATATACTTGGAACTTTCCGCATTGGCAAAATCGATTGGATAATATCACACTCCACTTATTACCACCTCGTTGAGTGACAGAATTAAATGTCTCTTCTACTTCAAACCTTGTCCTTTGAATGTCATATCGTCGAACTTGATATGAAGACGCTTCCTCTTGGTTTTTTTTTCCATTTGGTGCATTAATTTACGACAAAATCTCATACCTTTATTTAAATATGATGACGCGTCTTCGCCACGCTTCACAAAATACTGAACTAAACGTGAGTACGTACATTTTACCAGTGCAGTTATAGGCAAAATTCTGGCTCTTTTAAAAATTTTATTAACTGCTTCTGATAAATTTGTTGTCATATGTCCATAACGCCTTCCTTCGTCGTCATACGCAAGCGTCCACTTTTCTTTGGAGATACAGTCAATCCAACTTTTTATATCCTCAGAGTGATTACGAAATCGTTGAAGTTTTTCTTCAAAACTTTGTTTGCATGTTGTGTATCCTATACATATACAATGAAAAGGATGTTAAGCATCAACCATATTCAAAACATAGTCTTTTTGTAAACACGAAATCCAAACTGCACGTATATAAAAACAATCATATTCATACCTCATTTTATCAACTCTTTCTTCAAAGTTGGATTCTTGAATCGTTGATTAAAATTGTTTGCTATATGACGAATGCAATACACATGATATGCATTGGGAGGTTGCCATCCTATATGTGGATTAGAAACTGCACATTTGATACTTTGATGTCTATCAGATATTAAAGAGATACCTGTCTTTTCTGTGACATGAATGCGAATGAGAGCCAAGAACCATTCTCATGCTGACAAAGTCTCTCCTTCCACAATTGCAAATGCAATTAGAAAGACACAATTGTTTCCATCTTGGCTGGTAGCAATCAATAGAGTTTGTCGGTACTTACCATACAAGAACGTACCATCAACCTATATTAAAGGTTTGCAAAATTTGAAAGCACTTATGCACTGTCGGAACGACCAAAATAACGGATGAAATACTTGAAATCTGTTATCAACTTGGTGACCCCTCACATACTCATTCGTTTCAATCTTATAAACAGATCCAGGAGCATGTAATTGCATATACTCTAACCATGTAGGTAATGTAGCATACGATTCATCCCAATCACCAAAAACTCTTATGATAGCTTTTTGTTTTGCCTTCCATACTTTCTTGTAAGAAACTTGATAACCAAATTGACCATTAATTCTTTCTTGAATTAATGTGATTGGCACCGACGATTGTTCTTTTATCATACCTACAATAACGAAAATCAATTTCAGTAACATTTTTATATATATGTTTTACAAAATCGAAATAGCAACCAACAAATAGTTTAGAAAAACTTACCAAGAACACAAGAGCAAATAAAGTTTGAATTAAGTTTTTTATGGTTTAAAAACATCATTGGATTAACACATGTATGTGTTCCACCATATCTTGTGATTTTCCACTTGATATAAAGTTTGCCTAAATTTGCTCTTACTCTCTAGGGGCAACCACTTGTATGGTTTGGACATTTTACATGTAACTTCGTTGGTTTTGATTCCACCACAAAATAACTTTGATGTGTTTTCATTGTAAAATGCTTAATGGCCATTTTTACCTCCTCTTTAGACTCAAACACTTGCCCAACATATACAGCATCACCCTCCCTCCATGATTCATGCACGTGAACATCTAAATTTTCCATTTATTGATCAGCATGTTCCCAATTAATATAAGTATAATACAGACTTGAATTCCAAAACAGAGTTTTAATCATGCCTGCATTACAACCAAATCCTCTAGTTTAAATAATTTATTCATGAAATATATAAATTAAATTATATAATATATAATACCTTCATGTGGTGCATTTTCATGAGCATTTAATATTGAATTAAGATCATCATCCACATTAGTATCTGATGAACTATCTGTTGAAAAATTCCATTCATTTTCGTCGTCATCAATATCTTCATTCTGATATTCACTTTCTATATAATCATAAAATTTGTTATCACATAAACATACTTATAACACAGTAAAAATCAATTTTTATCAAATGAAAAACTATCTCATACGTGATCCTAATTCATATTCATCATCATCACAGATATTGTCACATAAAAATGTGTCATTTAAGTTCATATCTTTTGCCTGAATACAAGAACTTTCATCAGATGCAATATCTGCATATATTTCAATTGCACTCCTCTGATTTTGTTGTAAAAAAGTACTTAACATACAATCGATATCTTCTTCATCACATATATCCATATTTGTATATTGTCTACCATTTGGATCTACTAAAAACCGTGAAATCAATCTAGATATAACTTGATTAGTAGACAATTGTAATTTTTTATGAATTTTTTCTTTTAGTGTCTTAAAACTTATTTCACGTTCAATTTTAATCATTTTATTATTTCCTTCAAAGGTAACACCTTCATTACTCGAGAATATTCGACCATTTCAATATACTATTATCACAAAATCAGTCATTCTGCATCAACAAATTCAATACACATACAACAAATTATATCAGTAAAATTTAACAAATTAAATACGCATACAACAAATTTGACACTTTTTTTTTTCATATATACAACATTCTCCTATTTTATATAAATTTATTTTATACTTTTAACAATGATTTTTAACAACTACAATTTTTTAACTTCATATTAAATTTATAATAAACCATTTTTATTTACAATACAAATATCAATTATTATTTTTTGTTTGGCTAACATAACACAATAAAGTTTATGTTTAAAGTTAATTATCAACATAAATTAAATAAAACATATTTGTATATGCATTATTAAATTGTTTTAATGTTGTATGCATTAAAATTTAATTATTCTTACAGATTATTATTATTCAGCCCTATTTATTTTTATTTAAACAAATTTCTATCACATTAATGCAATTATTTAACAACTAATTAACAAAACTCAATCTCATTTAAATAACTAACATAAAAATTACTACACAGGTAATAAATAAACTACATATAAATAAAATTTGTAAAAAAAAAAATTAAAAGCACAAATCTACTAATCTGAATTGAAACTCTTTGTGCAGTTTTTCCTACCACCAGTTCAAATATTTCAAGGAACGGCAATTGCGGATATCCAAATGTGTATATGTATGCGCTTTAAAATTGGACAAGGAAGTAAATGACCATGCGACGTCTCAATTCCCCACATGTCTCGCACTTTGCCACTCGATAAGTTAGCCGCCCATTGACCGTCGATAAGGCTATCGTCCTTGACCAGGCGATACACATCTAATAGGCGCCACGTGTCATCATCCAAGCCGTTCCTTCACATAACTCTGATCTGACAAAAAATTAGCCTAAATAGGAAATATATTCTAAAATAAATCTATTTCAAGAATTTGTTTTATAAATCATATTATTTAAATAAATTTGCCGAACAAGAAACATGCTTACCACAAAAAAAGCTAAGCACGTATTATAAAATTTTTTAGTAGAGAATTTCATTGAGTCTAACATACATTTGATTTGATAGTATCTAATGCAGAACTAACCATATTCACTGTAAATAAGAAATAATTATGCATAAATAAATAACAATGTAAGAAGTACTATTATGTGATCATAAAAAAATAAGTTTTAATGTATTTTTTCTTGTATAAAAAGGGTGATTAGCTTGAAGAAACAAAGTAAAAATACTTAAAATTTTTTGTTAGCTTTAAGAAGTTGTTTATGAAAATATATTTGGAGTTTACTTGACTTTGAAGAGATTATTTGTAAAAAAAAAAAAAAAAACTTTGAGTTTAAGTATTCAAACATAAAGAAATATGTGTACAAAACTATGAAATAGTAAAATTATTGGCTAAGGTCAAAGATGAAATGTGATCCCCTGAAGGGTCATGAATCTATATAAATTTTGTATGTTCATATTTTTTATCTTTATACTTTTATATATATTTCTTAATAGAGTTGTTTTTTTAAAGTTTATAAAAATACTTTAAAAATAGATTCAATCACCATTTTCTTATTTTTCATCTATTTGTTTTAGGAAATATTACATTTTGGTACAAAAGGTGGTTAGAAGCTGATCATCTGCATATCCTCTTGCCTTTAGTCCAAATTATGAGATCTTAAGGTAAATAACAGACGTGTATTAGGGTAATGAATGACACATCTAAAGTTTAAAAATTCCTAGCTCTCATTATTTATAATTAGAGATCAAAAGTAGTTATTTAGATGAGACTTGAAGTTATATTCTTACATGATGTATCGCTATTTATGATGTTTATCTTGTTATATGTTCATCAGTATAAAGCTTTCCTCCCATGGTTTTTACATAGATAAATTGTATTGGGACCAAATTTTCCTTATAGAAAACATTAAACACTTCTTTTAGTATATGATGCATCAGAGTTTACCTACTAAGATTTTCATCTTGAGAGACATTTTTTATTTATTTTTATTCTTCTTGTTGCGATTGTAGAACAACTAAAGTAACTATCTTTTACTTTGTGAGAGATTATATTTATCTTAAGAGTATTTAGAGGATTCTTTATTTTGATAAATTTTTAAAATTCTTAAATTAAACTTAAAGTGACTAGGTGTAGTTTGATATTACATGTTCAATAAAGTTGATATTGAGTTTTATATTGTTGTTAATCTTTTTGAAAGATAAAGAAGTGTATAAATGTTTGCTAATTTTATGTAACAAAATTGAAAGATTATAAATATCACAAGTTTTGCATGACAAAGCAAGAGTTTCACAAATATAACTCTATATAAACTTTTTTGTTTTTTGAATCTCTCTAAGAAAACATACACTTGAAAATCAAGTTAATGTTAGTACATCTAACAACTTAATATAACTATTTTTGGTAGCTTAATTCACAAGTCTTTTCAATTTTAGCTTATATTGTTGTTAGTTTTTATGGCCTATTAGTCAACTTGGTTGTTAAGTTAATGGCCAAGGTCAACAAAATTTGTTTATAACTCTCACCCTCACAACAAGGTTGTAATATATTATTTCACCCACATACTTTTATCATACATGCTATTAGAGAGTTTTATTATAAGAATCATTTTTTTTTATATTTCACAATAAAAAATTTGCTAAGATGACTTATAAATAAGTAAGTTTGATACTTATTTTAATTATTGCATAAGTAAAAAAGTTTAACTCTTTCAACTTTATTCTTTAATTTTAACAAATATTACAAAATTTACTAGAACCTATCGTTAATCTTAAAATTTGTCCATAATTTATCTTTTATTTTTCTTAGATTAAAAAAATCATATTCTTATCAACAAACAATCTTACTATTTTAATAAGTCATTTAGTAAAATTTTTTATTTTCTTTCACATTAAATTTTAAAAATTATTTTAATAAACCAAATAAAGCCTTAATATTTTAGGAATGCACACGGTTCAATAACTGGTAATTTTAAAAAAAATTTACCATTACTAATACATTTTTAATTGATTGAACTAATTAATAAAATAGTAACAGTAATAATCAAAACAAAAAGAGCGCCAACCTAACTTTAAATCTGAAAATCACCCTCTCGAATAACCATTCACTATTAAACACGTCATCAACGCTGCCTGTGACCATTTCTCATTGGTCTGTATACAAACTTTGGTGACCTACCTATAATCCAATATCACAGTTTAAAAGTCTTCCTCGTTACCTCGTTTTTTTTTTCGCCACTTGCTACTCTTCCCGCCATTTTCTGTCTCCCTGTTTATATATAAAAAATCGGATTCAATGAAAAAAAAAAGAGAAAAGAACAGAAGAAAAATTGAAAAATCCCATAACACAGAACCGAAAACCTACGGCATTGCAAATGGGCATCAAGGATCTTCTCAGGTTCATGAAACCTTACATCGAACCCGTCCACATCAAGAAGTACGCTGGTAAACGCGTAAGAATCAACCCTATTCCATTTCAAAGTTTCGATTTTTCGGCAAAATTTTACGAGGGGTGTGTTCGGTTTTGCTCACTTTGCAAAATCTGCAGGTGGGTATTGATGCTTATTCATGGCTTCACAAAGGGGGTGAGTAGTGACTCAATGTTGTTATTGCAGTTTTGGGGTAAATATAACGGTGTGAAGTTGAAGCTGACATTTTGATTTTTCAGCTTATTCGTGTAGTATGGAGCTTTGTCTTGATTCTGATAGCGAAAGGAAGTTGCGATACATTGAATATTTTATGCACCGAGTTAACTTGCTTCGCTACTATAAAATAACCCCAGTTGTTGTTTTTGATGGTGGCAATGTTCCTTGCAAGGCAGCAACTGAGGAAGAGAGGAACAGGCATGGTTTATTTATTTTTTTTGTCTGTTTAAATTTAGAATTAGAATCTAGTTTTTAATATTTAGTACATGCTTGAAAACTTTTTTTTTTCTGAAGGAAATATCTCTTATTTTTCAAAAACTTGCGTTAGGAAGTTGATAAATTAAAGCGTTATTTCTTCAAAATAAGTTGAATTAAACAGTAAGTTTAGTTTCTGCTAATGCGTGTCATTTCTCGGTGTGTGGTGTTTGTGACTGTGTGGTTTGGTTGTTTTAGAAAAAGAAGTGCTAATCGTGATTTGGCAATGGCGAAGCTCAAAGAAGGGAATGTTAGTGCAGCTTCAGATCTCTTCCAGGTAGAAGCATTCTTCAGTTTTGACCAAAAAAAGAGAAAAAAAAAATAATGGTCATTTTGGAGGACATTATTGACAACTCCAAGGATTTGTCACTAATGTATTACTACATGACATCTTAATTAGATGAATCCTGAGTTTTACTAAATTAAAAAAACTCAGCGTGCAATGCTGGCAATTTATCTAATTGTTGTCATCAAATGTCAACAAGACTTCATTTTCTTTATTTATTCCACATTCTAATGTTTAGGCTTATGAATTGAACACCAAGGATTTTCCTTTCTTACGTGTGCAGAGAGCAGTGAATATTACTCCCCTTATGGCATATAAACTAATTCAGGTATGCTGTAAACCTTAAGCATATCTTGTTGTACATACCTGTGACTGATAATACTGAGAACACTCCCATCGTACGGTTGTACCCCCTTTACAAAATTGAGTAATACCAGTGCTACTTCTGAACAGTAATCTTTAGTTAGTCTACACTCTATGGTAATTCTTTCATCTAATTATAACCTTGCAGACTCTTAAATCAGAGAACATTGAGTTCATTGTAGCTCCATATGAAGCAGATGCTCAGTTAGCATACATGTCGAACCTTGAAGCAGAAAAAGGTGGAGTTGCAGCAGTGATCACAGAAGATAGTGATCTGATAGCATATGGCTGTCCAGCTGTAAGAACTTCTCCAAAACTATGATATTGTGCGTGGAGGTTTACTGCTTTTCTAATATATTGATTTCTTTACTGTTTCACTATTCAGTTTCATTGAAATCCTGTGAATTGGATTGTAATTCTCAGTGATTTTTGTTTGAACAGATTATTTTTAAGATGGACCGTCATGGAAATGGTGAAAGAGTTGAGTTAGAGAAGGTTTTTTCTGCTGAATCTAGGAGACCTTCATTTCGTAGTTTTGATATGAAACTCTTCACAGGTGAGTTTTACTGCTTGTGGAATGCAACAATGTGTGCACATATGCTCATGTCTTGAAATGACCATGGTTGCCCTGTAACCTATGATGAGCATGTGTGGATGTGCCTTCATGTAACTGCAAGTATGCAATATATTTTTAGAGCATTTCATACATAAGTGTCTTATCCATGAAAAGAATTAAGAAAAGGAACTAGGAGTCTAAGACCTTGCCTACACGAGCTCTTATTGTATGTGTGCTTTGACCTGTTGGATACATTAATGGGAGGGTACTTATGCAAAATTCATATCCCTGGCAAAGGTTAACCTGAGCTAATTAATGATTTAGGGCAAAATCTCGAACTTTTGAGGAAATCTTTGTTGTTTGTGTCATAAAAAAGGAATCTCACACTTGACAGGCTGAAAAATGCTTTTTGCTCCTTCAGGTATGTGTGTCTTAGCTGGCTGTGATTTTCTTCCATCTGTTCCTGGAATTGGTATTGCTCGAGCTCATGCCTTTGTTTCCAAGTATCAGAACCTAGATCGCGTAAGTATGTTCTCATTGCTAAAATCAATTAAGGTTGATTGCTTGTTGAAGAGAATTGAACATAAATCAAGAGAGAAAGCTCTTTAGAATTTTAGAAGCTCTCTCTTGTCCCCTAGAATCTTTGGCTTGATTTCATCATGTGGACTTCTCAATTGGAATGTTCAAATGAAAATTTCTCATTATTCCTCACATTTTGATTTGCTTGATGGAAGGATATAGCCTGTTTCTTTATGCCACGTATTTGAATGCCAAATATTTATTGTGAATTCATTGTTGCTGAAATTATGTAATTATAGTAATGTTATAAATAGGATAATTAGTATCTTTATAATTACAAAGTTTATGTAATTGTATATTCTATATTAATAATTCGTATTATAAATATATGTTCTACTTTGTAGTCAAGATACACAGATTCATATTATATTTCTTATTTTTCTTTCTCAACTTGGTATCTAGAGCCTAACATGGGATAATTCTAATATGTGATTACCCAGTGGGCTCACTTTGGTGCAAAATTTTTCTAAAAATTGTCCTCTGCATTCAGTTTTCAGATTTTTGCTCGTTTGGACAATGAATTGCTGCTTGCTACTGTTTCAGCTAGTTTTTTGGCAATTTTTCAATACAATTTTTTTTGGCGAATACCCTTGGATCTGGTTTGCCTTGCTCAATTTGGCATGTCCTCGAAATTTTACACCGCCTGATGGTCCCATGCATTCTTACGCTTGTCGTTTCCTTGTCAGCTTTCTCTCCTTGCTACACACCGTTGGCGAGTGATGGCACTCCTGACATTGTTTTCAGCTGCTGCTTGTTTCGTTGGAGTTGCTGCTGTTTGCTGTACTCCAATTTGTCCTTTCTTGTTCTTTCTAGGTTGCGAGTCACTCATTTTTTTCGCACTGCTCCATGGCCGCCTTTAACCCTCTGGAGGCAGACACTCCCGTTTTCAGCAGCTATGTTAGTGTCCCTTTATCCTTGAAGAAGTGGGATGGAAGTAATTATCTGCATGGGTGTCCAACGTCAAACTTTGGCTTGAAGATTAAGGAGGACTCCATTAATTCTGTTGAAAAATCTAAATGGAGTAAAATCGATGCTTAGCTTTGTAGTGTTATCAAATTCACTATTCATTCCTCTTCGAAGTAAATTTTTGGCCCTCATGAGATATGAGTCTATTTGGACATAGGCCTAAGGCTTGTATACCAATGACATTTAGTGCCTTTCTGTAGTTTGTCAACATTTTATGAATCTTATTATTCCTCAACAATTTGATGGTGTCATGACTGAATATTTGGAGTTGAGTGACCAACATTTTTCATAAGTTGAATGAAGTCTTGCCTTTTGCTACCTCAACAGGTAAAGACCTTGAAAATTATTAACAACTTATTATGTTACTTGTTTTATATGGTTTGACTATAGTGTATTCTATTATTTGCGATTAAATTTTGGAGTTGTCTACTGTATCCACTATAAACTCCACGTGGTTCACCTTGATATGGGTATTAGCTAAAACTTCATATACTTTTATGGATATTTTTTCTACTTCTACTTTGTTAGACTCCTTTGCTGTAGGCTCACAAATTGTGCTCATTCTTGCAAACAAGACAAATCTCGTTCTTACTTAAAGTATGACCATTGTCATAAAAAGAGACACAATTGATTATTACTTTGCCTTACATGGTTGCCCCCCACGAGTGGTTAATGTTGTCTAATCCACACCCCTTGACTTTACACCTTTGATAGTGTCACCAACACTTGCTCCTTCACCTGTATATAGTGACTTCTTCGATGATTTAAGGAGCATTAGACCTATGATTACATTGCTTTTGTTGTGCACATGAGTAACTTTTTTGTTGGTGTCTCTTTTTCTTTCCTTGCCCCATGAGTCCTTGATTTTGGGACCATTGACTATATCACTAGTAATATTTTTTTTTTTTACTATTTCTACATTTGATTATTTACTCTATCACTGTATCTAATGAATCCCAAACACAATCTTTGGGCCTTGCTACTGTCCACCTTTATTGATAGCTATTCTATATTATTTTGTTATTTTTAATGAAAGATCGTTTTAAACTATTTTCTATTTTTAAAACTTTTATTTTGGAAATTAAAACTCAATTTAGCGTTTTAATTTATAATTTACAATGTGATAATGCTCATGAATGCTTTATCTAATCACTTTTAAAGTTTTATGATTTTTAATCATATCCTTTATCTAACCTCTTGTGTTCATATTCCACATTACAATGAGATTGCTTAATGAAAGAATAGATATCTTATTGAAATTGCTTGTACTTTGTTGTGTAATAGTTAGGTTCTTCATTGCTTTTGGGGTGATGATATTCTTTTCGCTTGTTACCTTATTAATAGATGTCATCCTTTGTTCTTCAAAGCCAAGTTCCTCACTCTGGCTTATATATTCACCAATTCCTTCACCCTCTACCTTTTTAAGTCTTTGGATCTACCTGCCTTGTTTATGACCTAGTCTAAGGCTTGATAAATACTTATATCACCCTTGTAAATGTGTTTTTCTTGTTATTCCAAATCTTAAAAAAGTTATAAGTGTTACTCTTTAACTCTTTGTTTCTATTTAACTTTGATTGATGTCACTTATTTTGAATCTTTTCTTTTTTTTACGCCAAGTCCTCCTACTTTAATATTTGAGTCTACTTTTTTCCCTCCTTTAACTTGGTAGGTATATAACTGTTGCCAACCACTTCTTGTGCCACCAATGTCTAATGGGTCTTACTTTGACTTGCTTCTAGTGCCACTCATCCTCTCTTCTCTTGACTTATCTCCTAATACTAAACTTTCTATTTTTCTTTGTAAATGTATACGCTTTACTTAAAATCTCTTTCTTTAGTATGTTTCTTTAATTTATCATTGTTTCCTCATTATACTTGTCTATCTTCTTTGTTTTTTATTTCTATTTCTTAGTCTATTGGTAATGCTCTCTCCTTCTTGGTTGGAAACAAACAAGTGATACTTGGGAATTTGTTTCTCTTCTTTTTGAGAAGTTTCTTGTTGGTTGCAGGTGGATCTATATGGTCAATGTTAGTCTTGATGGTAAGATTGATCATCTTAAGGCTTGCTAGATGTCCAAAGGATATACATAGATATTTGACTTAGACTACAGTCACTTTTTTTTTCAGTTTGATATCAAGAATGCTTGATCTTGTAAAAATATATATAGGGCAATCTTTGAATTTGTTGTTTAGTGGAAGTCTTTATGACTTGTATGTCGTGTTCAAAAATATTTTTATAGTCTCAAACTATTCCGTAGGACATAGTTTGACAAATTTAGCATGGTGGTTCAATCGTTTGGCATTACTCAAAGTAGAGCAAATCATTCACTTTTTTTATCGTCATTCAAGCGTAGGTTGTTTTTACTTAATTATATATGTAGATGATATTGTTATCACATAAAGTGATACCATTACATGGAACAAGTAAAGCAATACCTTTGTTAGTACTTTCAAATAAAATATTTTGGCAGACTTCGATACTTTTTGGGAATTGAGTTGACACAATTCAAGAGTGATGCTGTGATTTTTCAAAGGAATTATGTAATGGATATCTTAGAAAAAACATAATTGATGGAAGCTAAACCTATTGATACTCTTATGAATTTTAATATTAAACTTCTCCTATGTTAGGGGAAGTTTAGATCCATAAAGGTATAGCATACTTGTTGGAAAATTGAACTATCTAACAATTACTTTCCTCAGCATCTTTTTTACAGTTAATATGGTGAGTTAGTTTCTTAACTCTCCTTGTGATGAACATTAGGATGAAGTAATTTGCAGTTTGAAATAGATTAAAAGAGCTCCAATATAAAGGACTCTTATATGAAGATAAATGACATATTCATGTTGTGGGGTATTCAAATGCATATTAGGCAAGATCACCTAGTAATAAAATGTTTATATCTAGCTATTATATCTTTATTTGTAGAAATCTAATTTTCTTGAAAAACAAAAAGTAAAGTGTAGTTGTAAGGTCTAGTACAAAAGAAGAGTATCTAGTCATAACTTTAGTCACTTGTGAATTTATTTGAGTTAGAAAATTGTTCAAAGAATTGAGATTTGGGAAACTTAGACATATAACACTTATTTATGATAATTAGATAGCTTCACATATTGTGTCAATTCCAATTTTTCATCAGAGAACTAAACATGTTGAGATAAACTCTTATTTCATTAGAGAGAAGATCTTATCCAGAGATATTACTACTAGCTTCATAAATTTTTATGAATAATTGGCAGAGGTCTATACCAAGTTATTAAGAAGTTCTCGAATTAGGAATACATGCAACAAGATCATATGCTTCAGTTTAAAGGAGAGTGTTGGAATTTTATGATTATAGTAATATTGTGAATAAAGAAAATAGTATCTTTTTAAGTACAGTAATTATATGTTTAATATTCTATATTAATGATCCCTGATTACCATAAAGTTAAGAGACTTTTTCTAAGTTGTATTGTGTTCCACTTGGACAATATTATATATTGTCTCTACCATTTATGTATCTTGTTTTAGTTTTAGAAATTAAGAACAAGGTAAGTGCACATTTCACTACCAAATTGGAATTATGTTTATTGGATGTTGTATACCAGTAACCAATACTTTTGTTTTCTGCAGTTACTTAAACAAGTATAGTTAAAATGGTTCGTATACAAGGTATGACTAATGTATTAGTTCTTTAACAGATCTTGTCTGTGCTTAAGCTTGAGAAAGGAGATCAAATGCCTGAAGATTATGCCAAATCCTTTAAAGAGGCTGTTGCGGTCTTTCAACATGCTCGGATGTACTATTATTAAATCTATTTCTTAATTTTAGAATGAGTATTAATTATTTGTTCAGCAATGACCAGTTTGCTTATTGAATTTCTATGTAGATATGATAACAATGCTAAAGAGCTTAAGCACATGAAACCCCTTCCAGAAAATTTTCTAGAGTCACTTGATGGAAAACTTGATTTCTTGGGACCGTATCCTTTATTACACTACATTTTCGGGACTGATAGAGTTCTTGAAATCTTCTATTATTTTCAATATTCTTAACTTGTGTTGTTTCCTACCAGTTACTACTTTAGAGGTTACTTGAATTTGTATAAATGTTTAACCAGGAGTTCTATATATATAAATATATTTAGAATATATGATCAATAATTTCAACCTGTATGCTTGTTGAAGAACATGTATCATTTTTTCCTTGATTAAGTCTAAATTCAATTAGAGAAATTCCCCCATATGTAGTCACAGCAATAGCTGAAGGAAACTTGAATCCATCAACTAAGGAACCCTTTGATAAGTCTAAATGTTCTAAATTTTTTCTACGCCCCAATGATCTCCAAAGCTTTGATCAAGTCCATAAAGCTGAAGTTCCTGCACCATTTAGACAGGAGAATAGCTTTTCAATCATTGGTTCCAGTTGCACCAGAGAAAAAAGTACAGGCAAGTGAAATAAAAAATTAGAGACGCATGTGTTTATGCAACTAACAATTTTTGAAATACATTGCTAAGTTTTTGCACATTTTTTGCTAGATGGTTTATATTTTTAAATGTTAGCAGTCATAAAATTATTTTTCTCCATAGTGACAAAGCTCTTAGATGAAGAGAAGTATTCTGCTGAAGCATTGGCACTTCAGAAACTAATCATGCCATTGGAAAAAAATGGAATAGAAGAAAAGACCATTGTAGCTGGTGACACTCCTTTGAAGGTTCCTGCCAACAACCCATTTAGGATAAGACAACCTAAGGAAGTATGTTTGGTTCAGGCAAATGACATAGTAGAAAAAGTTTCTTTCGTTAGCAGTGTGGAATATACCGATGTGTGCAGATCTCTGGATATCTTTCAAGAAGAGGGGTCTAAGAATCTCTCAAGGAAAAGAAAATTTCCTAACATTTGCTCAGATAAAGGTGAAGCCACTGATGGACAGGTTTCAAGAGTGACAGATGTTGAAAATAATGATAATCTATGCATGATTGTGAAATCCCAAGAAAGTGTAAATTTTAAGACTAAGAAAGTTGATTTGAAAGGAAGAGGTGGTAGTGAAAAGAAATCCAAGAGAAGCAATTTGAAGAAAACGGATAATAGCAACAAAACTATTTTGAATTTCTTTTCTCGTGTTTAATTATCCATAATTTTTGTTGCTTCTTTCTTAGAGTTCATTTTTTTAAACCTAGTAAGACCAATGCTATTTTTATTTATATTTTTTATTTCTCAAATTTTGTCCAAACTAGTTCCTTATATGCTTAGACATAACAACTTAACATTGTTGTGAAAGAAGCTAGTAATTGATCATGATACTTGAAACTACACATTTAGATTAATCAATGAATAATTTAATTTCTAAGTTGTGTATATTATTTAAATTATTTGGCAACCAAAATTATTATATAAATAAAAGGTAAGATGAACATAGTATACAATGTTATTGCATATTGAACATTTTACATAAATAGAATCATATACTTAGATTAGTTAACATGATCTTTACTTTATTTAATTGGAAAAGAAAAGTCAACTTAAATAAAAACATCTTTTTAATAGAACCATATAAGTTAAAAACTATTAGATACTCATAAATTTTAAAAAGCCTCTTTGAAGACTACTTTGGTAATTGGTAGTAATGATCACGATTTATGGTGGTATCAATCAGTTGACCATGTTTGATAAAGAAAATGAGATATGTCAATATTGAGGAGATATTCTCATTCTCCAAAGCCATCGTTACTTGATCACGTGAATGAACCATTACCACATTACTCTTAACATTGCGGCAGGAAAAATGGGTATAACATCTTTCATTTTTTAAATAGTTATTATTGATATTGTAAGAAGAAAATTTGAGTAATTTATAGTCTTTAATTTTTAATTATTTTCTTTATCCAAGAATATAAATTTAGTGTGATCATTCTTTTTGTAAATATGTTTGAACAATTTTTTTGCATTTTATTTTAATTTTTTATTTCAATTATTGCAAAATAGGTTGCTAGAGTATTTGACAATAATCAAATATTTTTTTTAAAGAATCAACACATGGAATAATATTTTCTTGAAAAAATTATGTAATTCAACAAATTATTAAACAATATGAGACTATAGTTGAATTTAAAATAAAGTTATTGTCATATTATAAAATATCATTTTATTACAAGACTTGATGAGTACAATTGCAAAAACACTTTAACTTAACCAAAACCACCAAAACATGATTATCTCAAACAACTAGAAGCATAGAAAATAGATTCTTTGCTTGCTATTTACTGTTTCTTTTTGGCAATGAGCTAATTAAACCAGTATGCTGACATTTTAGGTATCTCAAGTGTTTTGAAATCAACATAAACAATGCCAAATCTTGATGTGTAACTCAACCTCCATTCAAAGTTATCAAGTAATGACCATGCAAAATATCCTATCACATGTACATTATCATCAACTGCTTTCTTTAGTTGAGTCAAATAGCTTTCTAAATAGTTTATTCTTGTGGTGTCATGCAAACCCTTAGGAAGAGTCACCTTACCTGGATCATCCATGCCTACAAGTAGGGATGGCAAAACAGGTCAGCCCGTTCTGCCCAGTCAAAAGCCTGTCCAAAAATAGGCTAGCCCAAGCATACTCTGTTTAAATAATGGGCTAATTTTTCTAGCCTAACCCATTTAAGAGTGGCCTGGCGGGCTAAAGTGTTGTGCTTGTGACGGTGAGGACACCCTGTGTTAAACCCAGATGAGCATGACCATACTCCATTATATTATTTTAGAATGCAACAAAAAACGTGACATCAAACATAAAACTATATTATAATTTAAGATTCTGTAACAAATGCAAGTATTTTCGTGACATGGGACAACATTTCTGCAAACTGCTAACTAGATATCAGAAACAAGAATGGCAAATCTAAGAGAAGCCTCAAATTATGCTGTCATTTATGACTTGGGCAGGGTAAGAACAAGAATAATCAAATTGAAAAATTGTATGCTGCTTTAACATTTAACAAATAACTAACAGCACTACTTATCTGTTGTCACAATAAATAATAAAATATAAGCATGTTTCACACATGACTATATTGTTTGACCCATTTTTCTGATCAATCCCCAACCAATTATTTTGCAAGCAAAGCTATGAGAGAGAGAGGGAGTTGCTAATTGCAAACTCAACTTTGATCTTAATACCAAGAATCCAAAACTACAACTTATTTTTAAGTACAGATCACATTGCAAGTGCTTGGTAGTTTCTTGCTATGTTAAGGTTTTTATTTAAGAACTTGATTTTAAGACATTAGAGTGGAGTATGTTATTTTCCCTAAATCCTCACTTGACAAAACGGTTACTGTGTCACAAAGTGTTCCACTGCTCCACTACTGGCTCTTTTCACTTTCTTGGGCCACACAAGGTCCAATAGCGTGTGAAGAATTATGTAAAAACTTAGAAAGCAACCAACATCCAGTAAAGAAAAAAGAAAGAGACAACTTTACTAAATACCAAGCATCAATGAAGAAGATGAAACACAAGCAATCTTGATCTTCAATTTTCAACAAGAACCATCAAACTCCAACTCACCATGAACAAAGCAAAAACACCAAAATATCCAAGAGAAAAAAAAACTTTTTGTTTTTAATAAATAAGGACAACTCATCAAAATAGAGGCTATTTAAGCACTTGGAACACCAACCAGGGAAACCATTGACATTTGGTGCTACTCAGGCAATTCTTCTCCAACCTTCTCACACTTGCATCCACAACAGGTTCTCCACTTTGGCTCCGAGACAATGGATCAGGGCAGTTCAAGGGGTGAAGCCTAATGCCACAAAAGCAATACTTATACACCACATCACGTCTCATTAAGCCTTGTCAGTTCAAAGCCTTTCCCAAATCATTCACCAGGTTTCTGAGTCATCTGGCAGCATAGGCATCATGTCATATGATGATGTGGCATGACCATGACCATGCCCATGGCTATGGTCTGCCATGCCAAGTGCAGCAGAAGAGTATGCAGCATACAACCATGCTGCAAGCACTGGGCAGTACCTACTGTGGTGCAGTTCCTAGTCACCATCATATTTGGTGACACCACATGCACTTTATCCCATGAAGGAACTCATCTGAGAGAGTAAGAGGGCACCCTGCAACATCAGATAGTTGTGGGAATGCTGGGATTGTTGTTGTTGTTGGCTTTGATGGACTTGGGCAAATGGGCTTAAGGGTGGTTACCGCTGTATCAGAAGGTCCATGAAGGAAGTGAATTAGAGAATGTGGCAGAAGAAAAGGAAACTGGATATGCTTATTCCTTCATGAGTTTGACTTCTAGATTTCTCATGGTTTTGAGCCACATGCCAGCTATGATTCTTGAGGAAATGTTACATACAAGTGTAAGTACAAAGCATCTCAATTAGTTTTAATCTCACAGCAAGCATCTAACCATCATTTCATGAAAAAGTTTCTCTGCTGTATCGTTCTCATTTCTTTCTAAGAGGGCACAGATAATTACGGCAAAAGTTATATCGTCAGGGCTGCAACCATTGTCTTCCATTTTTGACAGTAAGGACAATGCTTCATCAATCATGCCCTCTTTACAAAGGCCATTGATCATAACATTATATGTTGACACATTTAGCTTATAGCCATTAATCAAAAGATCCTGAAAAATCTCTTGTGCATCCGTGAGTCTTCCACCTTTGCATAGTCCGTCGATAAGTATTGTGTATGTGTATCCATCTGGATAAATGCCCTTGTGTATAACCTCATTGAATAATGCAATTGCCTGTTCTACATGATGGTTTTTGAATAATGCATTTATTAAGGAATTGTAGGTAATTATATCAGCACGTAGATCTCTACCACGCATCTCATCAATAAACTTCCAAACATAAGACATTCTCCCTGATTTGCATAAACCATCAATAAGAGAATTGTAAGTTATTATATCTGGAACCACACTTTTGCAATGCATATCTTTAAATAGATTCATGGCTTCATCCATCATTTTAATCTTGCATAATCCATTGATCAGTACAGTGTAGCTATATGCGTCAGGCATTACTTCACTTTGGATCATGTTGTTGAATACATATTTTGCATTCTTTACTTCGTTAACTAAGCAATAGCCATCTATTAAAGTATTATAAGTAACAACAGTAGGGTTCACGCCATCTTTTATCATCACAGCCAACACATTTTTAGCTTCTCTCACTTTTCCATTCTTGCACAAAACATCCATCAATACGGTAAAAGTATAAACATCTGGATTGATGCTTTTCAATAACATTTCATTGAACAAATCAACTGCTTTCTTCACTTGATCCACAAGGCAAAAGCCATAAATTAGACAGGTGTAAGTGATATAGTCAGGGTAAATTCCCTTGACAACCATTTCTGAAAAAAGATCACACGCCTCATTCAAAAAATTTTCTTTGCATAGACTATCAATGATTGTATTGTAAATTGCCAGGTTAGGCTGAATCATTTGCCCTTCAATCTGTCTCATCAACTGAATGGCAGCTCTTGTTTCTCCCACTTTACATAATCCATTGATCAAAGTTCCATAAGTAACTTCGTCCATACGAAATCCTTGTGCCACCTTGTCGTTAAAATGCAGTGCTTTCCTAACGTTGCCGTTGAGACACATACCATTCATGATTGTGTTGAAGGTTATGGTATCTGGTTGATAACCCAATCTGTAGATCTTGGCCAATACCGAAAAAGCTAAGGTCATTTGAAGCAGTTGGCACAAACAATTGATGTGAATGTTAAAAGTAAAAATGTCTGGCTTAATTCCCTTGGATCCCAATCGTTGAAAGAGGGAAATGGCAGTGTAGAAATGCTTATTCTTAACAAGGGATCCCAAAATCTTGTTAAATTGAATGATGGGTGGGGAAGGACGCTCGTTGAGCATGCGATGGAATGAGGCAACAGCGTCATCAACATTGTGAATAAATGGGGACGAAGAGTGACTGTGAAGTTTTGCAGAGTAACAAAGAGGAAAAGGGTGAAACTTGAGAACGGAGAGAGGAAGAAAAGAGCTTAACCTTGAGAATGACATTGGCAATATCAAAGCAGAAGTGTCTTCGCTTCCACAGGGTGTAGGGTTCCGAGAGAGATTGAGTATTGGAGGCTTTGTATGGGAAGGGAGAGAGAACAAAAAGAATAAAGAAAGAAAGACAACGTGGTTAAAAATTTCTAAAACGAAAATTTTTAAAATATTTTTTAAATTCGCAACTTTATTACCTAGTTTTTACTGCATGAAAAAAATTAAATAATTTTTTTTCTATCATTTTAGTTGTAACTAGAGAATTTACGTGATTGTAATAAGAATTCTACCTATAATAAAAATATTAGATCATCTTTATCTATTTTTCACTTTCTCGATACCAATGATAGTAATAATATCAAGTATAATCTTGATATGATATGAAGTTAGAACTTTTAACTATGAATACATTAACTCTTAAGAAATTACAAATATAAAAATATAGATCACCGTATGTAAAAATTATGAAAAAATGTTGATTAATTTACATGTGAGGACAAATTATAGTAATTTATTCCAATCCAAAACATAAACAAAGACAATAATAATATTTTCAAAAAATTTTTTCTATAAAAATAGAATATATATTCTATAAAATATTAGAAGAAATATTTTATTATTGTTATTTTTAATTTAAAATTTTATTTCAAAAATTTATATTTGCTGTCGATTAATATATATATCAAATATAAATTCTATTTAGAAACTAGTTAGAAAAAAAAGCAAAGGACTTGTTTTTGAATGAAATGGATATACCCATATATCTCGGACTTATTTTTATAAAATAATTAAATATGGCAAAACCTATACTAAAAATAGGTTCATATAAAATGGACGTATTGGTTAGCGTAAGCATGTTCATAAAATACCAAAAGAAGTTATTCATGTTTAAGCTAGTTTTAAAGTTCTTAAAATCAATTTCTTTTTTATTTATGTAAAATTCAACGTTATTATCTAAAACTCACTTTTTTTCTATCTTTTTTCAAAAGTTAGTTCAAGCATTTTTGTTGTGTTTGTAACTCCTAGTTCAATAAATTTTGTATATATAGTTAAAATTTATGCGATAAAAGTTTGAAAGGAATATACAAGACAAGAGATCAAATAAAATGAGGTAATCCTAGTTTGTAACAATATTGCAGGATTCTTGTGTTTGCATAATTGCTTAAGCTACTTCTTGTTTGCCTTAAGCCAGATACTTAAGTTAATTCGAGTTTGGCTTAGGCAAATTTATTATCACTTAAGTAAAAATCATCTAATGAACTATAATTTTTCCTGTAACTTTCACTTAAGCAAATTTACATATGGCTGAAACAAGGGATGGTATGATGAAGATATGAAACGACATTCAATAATTAAATAATACATAATTATATTTTAATCATTAATTGATAATGTAAGTGTGGATGACAAATATTTAATTATAAAAACCATAAACTTTATAAATAGAGTTTATAATGAACCTTATATATCTAAGATGATATTTAATATTCTATTAAATCAAATTTTATTTTTAATTATAAATGGAAACTCAATTATGACATATGAATACAAATCTTCTTAAAATCATAAATATATAAAATTATTTTTATTAAATTTACTTAGTCACCCATACATTACTTATTTATTAACTCATGTTATTCTTTCCAATAACTACATATATGTTATAAAAATTTAGATATTTAACCTGAACATCAATTAAAGTTATTATGTAAAGAATATTAAAATAGGTGGTAGTTATTTAAAATATATTATCATTTTCATTTTTTTAAGTTGAATTTATTCTGACAAAAACCGAGAAAGCCCTAAACCCAGTGCCCATTCATCAATCTTCGATCAAATCTCTTTAAAACTAAGGAGCTGAAGGCACTTTCACTCTGATGTTGCCAATGCCATTCTTAAGGTCAAGCTCTTCACAAATTTTAGAATGAGGCATGTGATTTTTTCCAGAAATAGTTGTCAAAAGGAATTTATCCCAACGGTGTCACTTACACCGGTCTAATCTATGGCTTTTGCCTTTTGGGTCAAGTGAAGAAAGCAGTTGATTTGTTCAATGAAATGGAATTGAAAAGCATCAATCCAGATGTTTATACTTTTAGCATATTGATTGCTGTCTTGTACAAGAATGGAAAAGTGAGAGAAGCTAAAAATGTATTGGATGATAACAGATGGTGTGAAACCTAATGTTGTTACTTATAATACTTTAATAGATGGCTATTGCTTAGTTAATGAAATAAAGAATGCAAAATATGTATTCAACAACGTGATAACGCCTAATGTATGTAGCTACAAGCCTACAAGATACTAATCAGTGGATTATGCAAGATTAAAATGGTGGACGAAGACATGAATCTCTTTGAAGATATGCATTGCAAAAGTGTGGTTCCAGATACAATAACTTACAATTCTCTTATTGATGGTTTGTGCAAACCAGGGAGAATTTCTGATGTTTGGGAGCTTATTGATGAGATGCATGATAGTGGTCAACGTGTCGATATAATTACCTACAATTCCTTAATGGATGCATTATTCAAAAACCATCATTTAGATGGGGCAATTGCATTATTCAATGAAGTTATAGACAAGGGCATTCATGCGGATGCGTACGGTACTTACTGATTATGGAAAGGAGGGAGACTTCAGGATGCACAAGCAGTTTTTTAGGATCTTTTGACCAAAGGCTATCATCTAGATGCCACAATGTATAATTCTATGATCTATGGGCTTTGTGAGGAGGCCTTGTGGTCAAGAATGGAAGACAATGATTGCAGTCCTGATGCTATAATTTTAAAATAATTATTTGTGCTCTCTTTGAAAGAAATGAGAATAATAAAGCTGAGAAACTTCTTGGCAAAATTATTGACAGAGGCTTATTGTAAGTAATTGCTTCAGATCTATGACAGACAATTCATTTGCAGCCTATTGCTATCACACTGGGATGAAGACTCCTAAGAATTATGGGTTGGCCTTGCTAGCTTAGTAAGTTTTTTATGTTTAGATGATTGTTGTATTATTTTTTTTTCAGAAAGATTTGTGTACATGGAAGCAGTGTTTCTTCTTTTTACTTGTCAACCGTGCTTAATTTTGTATCAATAGTGATGATTGGTTTTGATGGTAGACATTCTCTGCCTTATGCAATATTAGAACTAGTGGCCATTTGATTGAATGCAAAACTTTCAAATAAGATGATACATATGTGAGAACTATTATTATTTAATAGGTAAATTATAGAAAAATTTCTGTGTGTTATTCACATACAAGGAGCATTCATATATACACGGTACCATGCTCTATTTTGGTATCATATTTCTAGGACATATGTCTATAAATCTCTAAGATTGTGCCAGTAATATTTCTTTGGACAACTTGATTAAAGATACAGCAAATTGTCCTTAATATGACTAATAATAATTATGCTACAACAGATATTTTATTTCCTATTAGGTAATTTGATTGTAAATGCTATGCATGTTTTAGAAATGACAAATTGGTGCTTAGGACTTCTCATTTTACTATGCATTCAATTGATTACTTTGTCTCATTTGATTACCTATATTCTGGATTTGAATTTTACAAGTTTGGCTAATCTTATATCTGTGCTCTCTGAAAGAAATGAGAATGATAGAGGTGAGAAACTTCTTTGTAAAGCATGCATGGTTTAGAAATGTCAAACTGCAGCTTAGTTAGGACTTCTCATTATTGATGGTAGCTGATGCGTGTGGTTTACATTCTGAAATGGTTGTCAAGGAATTTATCTCAATGTTGTCACGTTCTCTAACCTACAGCTTTTGCCTTATGGGTCAATTGAAAGAAGCAGTTAGTTTGTCTAATGAAATGGTATCAAGAAACATCAACCCAAATGTTTATTTATACCTATAATATATTAGTTGAAGGAAATGTACGAGTAGCCAAAAATTTGTTAGTTGTGATGATAAAAGAATGTGTAAAACCTAATGTTGTATACCAGGTAAAGGGAAAAGAATACTATGTACACTATTTTTACTTTTTTTATCTCAAATTTTTTATATAGCACTAACAATAAAGAACAAATAAAAGCCACATAATATAAACTATTAATCTCTCACTTTAATCTTTTGAGATAATAAATGTTAGATATATTAATCTTTAAAATTTTAAAAGTATTATGTTAGTTCTTAACATTTGTCTTCATTCATCATTTAATTTGTTTAGCCACACACAGTAATATAACACTTAAGTGACTTGTATGATTAATTTCGAGATAAAAATAATGTCATATAAAATATGATATATATTTTTATTTCATTTTAATTTTTGACATTATTTTTATTTTATTTTAATTTTTGAGACTGTGACTTTTCATGCATTTTAGTCACTGGTATTACAATTTTTCATCATTCATCTTTCTTCTTATTTTTGCTTACCACTACATTGCTAGCCATCAGTTGCATCTGCGTCTTTTGCTAGTGATTTCAAACTCAAACATTAACCCAAGAAGCAACAAATGAGCCATCTTAACCTTAATTCAAATGCCTCACACTTCAACTTTTTTTCACCATATTTTAGGTACCCAAAAATGCTCTAAGTCGCCGAAACTCCCACCTTGAGTTATGTTCTCTAACAATCCAACTCAACCCCTTCAAATGTAGACTTAGACGACAACTTCATTATCCCTTCACTTACTTATTAGGGTGATACTCATGCTTAATATCAAGCCCAAAGTTGTGTAATAAACTTTTAAAGAAAACGACAATGTCAAAGCAATAATCATAGGTCTAAAGAAATAATTCTCTTCTCGAGTTAGTTACTCCAGCACTCGATAGATGTAGTTTCAAGGTTTTCAAATTGTTTTGTTGAGCAACTTTTGAAGAGATTCAACGACCATTAGGTCTCAACTTTTAGATTTTTTAAATGGGAAAAAGCTCAAACTTTGACAAGGCCTAGAAAACAATGGAGGAAATAAAGGAACATGGGTTTGCCCTTAATGTTTACTCATATACTTTGACATAACTCATAAGCTTTGACATAATAGCATTTTCTTATGTTAGCATTTGAGCTTGAAGTCTCCGATGGCAAATGTAGATACAAATAGTGGCTAGGATGGTTTCCAATAACGATAATATTAAAGAAGAATGATGAGCTGATGAAAAGTTTTAAAAATCACAGCCTAAAATGTTTGAACATAGAATTTTTTTACTGACAAATATTTTACACAAAAATTCATAAATGAAAGTTCTAATGAATTAAGTAATTTAGTAAATCATTTATCATCATTATTTGGCGTCACATATTTGAACTTACCAATAAATTTTAATTTTAACATACTTCGAGAAAAGTTATTTATAAGTTATTATAAATCAGGATAAAGTTTGTCAATGTTGAAATGCATTCATCTTGCATTCGTTAACCTCAAAATCAACCTTATTCATCAAATAAAAATTTATTAATAAAAACTTGAGAAATAGATTAGATCAATATTATTATATATATATATATTTTATTTTTTTTTATTCATTTGAATGAGAGGTGGAATAAAAGATAAAACAAGAAATAAAAAATGGAATGAAAAAAATTTGACCTTTGGATTGATTGAAATAAAAACGAAGAAAAAATTTTCTACTTATTTAAAGGAGTAAAAAAATAATAAGAAAGATAATATTATATATATATATATATATATATATATATATAATATACATTTGTGAGTTTATTTGTGGAAAATTTGATGAAGTGTCAATATTTTACTTCTCCAAATCTCTTCTTTGTCCCTTTCTATTTTCAGAATTTTTATTTTACTTCATAATTCAAATTTTAAATATCAAATTATATAAAAGTAATAATTACATTTTGATAAGATCTTTTATTATTCATCATTTTTTAAATTGGTATGTTATCTTGACATTGTGTATTGAGACTCATTTCAATAATTCAAAGAAGAAAAGAAATCCAATAAACATTCAAAAAAATAAATAAAATCTATTACCAAATAGTCTTTTAAAAATTTGAAATTAATTTTATATGCTCCGCAATTTTGAAGCTTTTTCTGACTATCACTGTAAACTTTCAAATTGAATAAAAAAAAAAGTTAAGAAACAAAGTTAAGTATCATCTAGTTTTATTTTATCATATCTTTATTTTTTGTTCTTCCTTTTTCACATAATTTGAAATTAGTTTAGCGTTTCTTTTTACATTTACAAACCTTGCATATAAATAAAAAAAATATGTTACTTGAACAAATAAATACATTAAAAATATTTGTTTTGATATAAAATTATATTAATATCTAAAAGCATATTTTTATTTCAGTAATAGTCACATTTTAAATATTTTATGATAACTATTATGATAATATTTTTATTATTTATTAATTATATATATATATATATATATATATATTGTTACATTTTTTGCAGCTTAAATATGATAATTAATAATTATGTAAATTGAGTCTTTTATCAATATATAATATTTTTTTTAAGAGACAATAGTCATTAAATGATAACCTAAATATTTAATAAATATAAAAAGTATTAGATATATTAAATTTAATTATAAATTATAATTTCTTATATGTGAGATTTTGTATAGTTTAATTTACTTTTAAATATAAGAACAAAAAATTTAACTAAATCACATACAAAATGAGATTAACAATTATAGGTTAGTATATTAAAATGATTTACATCGATTTTGTAATACTACTAATTAAATAAACTCAGTTTTATAAAAAAACTTACACATTTATTTATTAAGTTTTAATATTTTTTTTAATAAAAAAGTATTATATATCTTTTTTAAATTAATAGGTGTAATTCCTTTAATATTTTAAAAATAAAAAAATATTAATATTTTTTTAATTAAATCACTAACTTTACTGATTTGATTTATTAATTGGCAGCTATACGTGGTAACAATCAATATTTGAACAAATGAGATATGTTGAAGTTTCTTTTGTTTTTGCAAATCACTAGTTTAATACTAAGGAGATATTCTCTTTCCCTACAAATCACCGTCACTGGATCACATGCACAAAGCATTACCATCTTACTCTTAATATTGCTGCAGGAAAATGAATTAAATAACTTTTAACGTATTTCAGTATTATGAATTAGATAGCATTAACATCATTTTTTAAATAACTAATATTGAGACCTAAGAAGGAAATCCGACCAATTATTTTCTTTACTCCAAGAATAAAAATCTAGTGTGATCATTCTATCTAGATTTATTTTGAATTTTTCAAAAATTTATTTTAACTATTAAAAAATAGGTTGATAAAGTATTTAACAATGATCAAATAAGTTTTGTTAAAAAAAATCAACACATGAAATCATATTTTCTGAAATAAAAATTATGCAAGTGTGCAAAATATTAAACAATATGACACTATAGACAAAGTAAAAGAAAGTTATTATCCTATGATAAAATATCATTTTATTAGAAGACTTGCATTAATTAAGTCACATGATTACAATTGCAAAGATACTTTAATTTAACAAAAATCACCAAAACATGATTCTCTGAAACAACTAGAAGCATAGAAAATAGATTCTCTGCCTATTATCTACTGTTTCTTTTTGACCACGAGCTGCTTGAACCAATATGCTGACATCTTGGGATATCTCTTGAGTGTTTTAAAATCAACATAAACAATTCCAAACCTTGATGTGTACCCCAACCTCCATTCAAAGTTATCAAGCAATGACCATGCAAAGTATCCTACCACATTTGCTCCATCATCAACTGCTTTTTTTAGTTGAGTCAAATAGCCTTTATAATAGTTTATTCTTGTGGTGTCATGCAAACCTTTAGGAAGAGTCACATTACCCGGATCATCCATGCCTACAAGTCATAGTGTCAAATAATGTTGCAATAATAATAGACTATTAATGTCAACAAGCCAAAAAAATAAAGGACAAAACAAGAAATGAACATATAATATATGTTACCATTTTCAGATAAGATCACAGTTGGGTTTCCATAGTGCTCCTTTATGTACATCAATGCCTTGTACATGCCCCATGGTACATTGTAAAGCCAATATGAATTAGCCTGCAAAAAATTAACTTTTGAGTTAGTCAATGTATATTTTGTATGCACTTGTATCTATATAATGAATATTTGTCACCAAGTTCAAACTTACTCTTGGACCAATAGGTACTCCATTCTTTGCATCTTCAATATTTGCAAAAAAAATGAAAAAAAAAGTTATAGAAATATATATATATATATATATATATATATAATTGTTTAAAGTGTCAATAGAAACTCTCACATGTCTATTACCACTCTTATTTATTTATTTATTTATTATATAAAATATTTCTATTATTAATATGGTTATAAGAGAGAAAATATTGATATCTTGACAAAAATTACTTAAATGAGAGTGGTTACAGACAGTTGAGAGTGCTAATAAACACAATTCAAAATTTAGAAGAAGCATTATCTTACAAGCAAATCCAGCATTCCAGTCCTGTTGGTAGCCTGGGACTTTAGGTTTTGATTGATGGGGATCATACATGTAGTAAGTAGTATATTGGTTGATTCCAACAAAATCAATGGAGCCCTTCACTATTTTAACTTCTTCGTCAGTGAATTTGGGGAGTCTACTCCCAACAATTCCTTGAATAGTCCTTGGATACTCTCCATATACAAGGGGGTGAATGAACCTGTGGAATTTAAACACTCTTGTTATTTTAAAATCCAAGAAAAATTCACATCCAAAACAAAATACTAATAGAAGAGCTTCTTTATAAGAAATACTAAAGTTTATTACCATCCAACATGAAAGTCTCTAGCTCTTTGAGCTGCATAATTATCAGCCTTTGATCTTGTAAGAGGCTCATACCAAACAAAGTCCAAGAGAATTCCAATCCTTCCCTTTTGCTTTTCCTAAAACAAGCACATTTATTATTACATAAGAACATTTTATCAATTTAAGCAAGCCAAATAAACAAAAGGACTAGATAAACCATTATTACTTGGTACTTCTCTCTGTATCTTTGAACAGCAGCTGCATGTGACAATATCAAATTGTGAGCAACAATGTAAGGCTCAGTGCCTGAGTTGCCGGCTGAACAATTCCCATATTCTTTTGAGCATCTTCCAGGGGCAAAGAAACCATTATCATAGCCAAGAGCAGCCACCACTCTAGGTTCATTAAATGTCATCCAATTCTTCACTCTGTCTCCAAAAGTCTTGAAACAGAATTCTGCATAATCCGCAAAATCTTTCCTGCACAATTTAAGTAGTCATATCATTGGTCTTAATTACAACATAAGCATGTTGACATATACTACCTACTTTCTTCAAAACTTCAAATATTAATCTATGAGAAAACTTGCTTTTAAAACGTGCATTGATGAAAATCACATAAGGGAGTTCATTATTTCGGCTTTTAATATATAAAACTACTTTTGATTTCTTAACCAGTGCTTAGTATTTTCCTCAAAAGATAGGATTGTTTAGTCTGAGAACATGTACTCTGTTTTCTTTCTTTTTTTAACTTTTAATAACAAGAATTTCACTCTACACAAATATTTTAAAAAGGAAACAAAATAAAAATAAAGTGACATTTTTATAATTAAAAATAAAAAAACATTTTCTCAAACTAAACAGGCCCTTAACAATGCAATTTTGTCCTCAAAATATTATTGTACTTACACAACTTGGCGGCTCAATAATCCATTGTATCTCTCCTCAAGAGCTAAAGGAAGGTCATAATGGTAGAGATTAGCATATGGAGTGATCCCTGCAAAAGTTTCAGACTATTAATGGGAAACAAAACAAAATATGCAAATAACAGAATATTTCAAAAGCTATGTCATCATTTAGCCAATGCCATAAGAACACTTGCCTCTTTCTAGTAAGTAGTTGATCAACCTATTGTAGTATGCTACACCTTTCCAGTTTACTTTGCCAGTTCCATCTGCAACAGCAGTCAAACTCAGTTATTATTAATGGAGAGTAACAATTTGATTCAGCTATTTTATGATCAAATTTGTAAGATAAGTATTGTTGAATTACTTGGGAAAATTCTGGACCACGAAATTGAGAACCGGTAGGCATCAAAATTCAGCTTAGCCATGAGATCTATATCTTCCTGTCAAATTAAACATAATTGAGCTCATATTGTTGAAAAGGTTACACGCTTGATATTCATTCATTTTGAGTACTTTTATGGGATGAGGAAGGCCATATAGTTCTGTGAAAAATGAGTAAGTGTGGCTTTATAAAAAATGTTAACTTGGCTAAGAATGTTTAATGCTGTGAAATATGACAATTTTCATAGATAAGGGTCCAATTGAAAAAAAGAAAAAGAAATTTTCATTAGTAGCTTTTGGGCCAACAAAAATTGATGCATGTAAAGAAGACAAGTAAGATATATTTGAGATGTGAACATCTGTAGTTACATTTTGTTTTGACATACACTTCAACTTCATGTTATAATTGGAAAGCAATCTCTGTTAAAAATCCCCCAAAAGCGAATATGAAACCATTAGATATCAAAATTCAAGGCCACTTACTTTATAGCGATGGTATTGATCCACAGAAACTTCACCCGTGCCATTATCTGCGACAATCCCTGTTTTGCATTGAAACCGTAAACATTTCACTTTTTGCTTTAAAACCGTACAAAAAGCTCATTGTTTGTGAAAAACCGAAATATTTTATAAGAAATACACATATTTTTATAATATTTTTTTATATATTACATTACTCATTTTATTTCATACTTTTTCTATTTTTTTCACATCTGTTTCTATCATATAAAAATTATATAAACAGAAATTACTTTAATACAATAAAATATTAAAAATTATACAAACATGAAAAGAAAATTAAAGAAGCAAAAAGTGTAATAAAGTAAATTATGTAATAAATAAAAAAACATTACAACAAATAATTCTTATACACCACAGCATGACCGTGAAATCAGTGTCTTTTTCCGACAAATTGGAAAAAGGGAGAACCTTAAACAAAAGAAACAAATATAGTTATGAATACGACACAGTTCTCATTATCAAAAACATGCTTTCTCTTCTTTCAAAAACAGCAAAACAATCAACTGAAAACATCAATTCATGAGAAACAAAATAGTTAAAATTAAATTAATTCAAAATTAATTTTTTTATTCTTCAAATCAATTAAGATTAATATAAGACGTATTTAATATAGTTAAAATAATTTCACATTAGTTGATTCATATACCATGACAGATTATTCAACACATTTTTAAAAAAATTTAAAATAATAATTTAGAAAAAAAAAATAGAGATTACCGGGCTTTTGGATGAAAACGTCCCAAATGCTTGGGCCTCGACCGTCTTTATGGGCCATACCCTCTACCTGATAAGCAGAGGTGGCCGTTCCGAAAATGAATCCTTTGGGGAAGGCTTCTCTGCTCAAACCCCCCGTGTCAAAACTCACCGTTTCGGGCACTGCTTTATCATCTGCACCCGCGACACACTGGATAACTGAAACCCCCACAAACCACAAGGAAAAGAGGCATTGATAGAGAGCCATGGAAGCTCACACAGATGAGTGAAGAGTGAAGAGTGAAGAGTGACACAGAGACACTGACACTGTGATTTGATTTATAGGCCATTTTTGTGGACAATTTCAGTTTTGCCCATAAAAGATAAAATGGAAAATAAATTTTGAATGTTTTTTGGCAGCGTCTCACAGTCAATGGACCATAATGTGGGACATGCATGTGCCTTGTAGTGGTAAGTAACCGTTGTTTTCTTCTCATTTTCAACTGCATCACAAGTGAAAATGTGAAACTCTGTAAAAGCTACAGTTTCATGTTTTTTCTATAACTAGTTCTGCTGTGTTGTTTGGCATATTTTCTTTTTTATTATTTTAGAAAATATATGTTAAGTAAATATATATTAAGACCATTTTATTTAATAATCAAGACAATTTGTATAAAAAAAACACACAAGTTTCAGATTATTCTTAAATTGGTAAATAAATATTAGCCGGTATGATGAAACTGATTATTAATGATTTTATTTTCAAGTTTTAAATATATTTTAAATAAATAAAGACTCATATATAATGTTTATATATAAATTATTATTATTTAGTTATTTATTTTAATTTTAATTTTATACAATATATAATGTAATTTTATGTTAATTTAAAATTTTAATTAACTTAATTTTTAATAAGTTTGTATCAAATTATTACTTAATATATTATAAATTATTAAATATATATATATATATATATTTATTATTATTAATTTAACTATGATTGAATTAATAAATTATAAATCAATATTTTACCAATTTAATAACTTTAAAAGCATTATAACAAGATACAAAATATTATTTATTTAATTTTTAATATATATTGTTAGACATATAATAATAAATAATATTTTATTTTAAAAATACAATATTCATTAATACTAATACATAAAATTTTGTAATTTCAATAAAAAAATAGAAAATTATTATATATTTTTAAATACACATAAATTTTTATTTTGTTAAACCCGATGATTACATGTTCATTTGGATTTGACACTTGGAATGCTGAGCATCATCAACTCAAATATAGAAAATAGTAATACAATATGAAAAAATAGTAATACTCAAGATTATATACATAAAAAGAAAGAAAATGAAAAAAAAAAAAAGTAAGATAAAGATAGCAATAACACGTCATTAATTTACAAATAAAATATTTTTATTTCTTTATTTTAAAAAAACATTATTAAATATAGTTTTATCCTAACTTTTAATATAATCTTATCTTAATTTAAAAAAATATTTCTTAACTTTTAATCAATATTATGTTAAGATACTAATTTATTGCTGAACTTTATTGCAAAAAATTTAAATTTTACTTTAATGCTACAAATGATTCCGGTGAAAGAATGTATTGTAGACTTTAATGTTCAAAATCACAACATCATCTTCTTTTAAAATTGAAGATATATTACTTTGTAAAATGATTTAATTATAACTATTACTAAAAAAAATATTGTCTTGCATCAGAAACATAATCTAAAATCATAGTTCTTAAAATGAATAACCAGTCACTGTATTTGTTGATGGATGGAAATTTTATATAATATAAATTACTTTTATAAATATAATATAAATATGTTATAACAAAAATAGGATGCATATTTTGAATTTAAAATATAAATAATATTTAAAAAATGATAAATAACTTATTTTTAAAATATTATCAAAATTCAAAGTACATAATAAAAAAGTTTAAATTTGATTTATTAATAATATAATAATAAATATTTTTAACTGCATACTATTATATAAGATAAAAATATTATACATGCAAGTTTTTATAAAAGTTATATATTTTAGCATAATTTAACACTTTAACAATATTAAAAAAATATTACAATTTTTTATAAATTTTTTTATATATATCTTTTTATCTTATACAATGTTTTACAGTTCCTATATATCTTAAACAAGCAAAAGATATACAAGTTGGAACTAAAATTAAATCAAGTATATAAAACTATTAAAAAAGCCTTTATTCGAGAGATTAATCGTTACCTAAAAGAAAATATCCTTAGAATCTCAAAAGATCACATGGATTTCCATTTCATTTATTTATTTCTAAACATATATAATCGTGAACTAAACATTTATTATACATAAATAATGCATTAGATTACTTCTATTTTTAAAAAATTACATTTGTTATGCAACAAAGGTTAAAAAGAATAGTTGGTAAATAAACCATGTTTATCAAAGAAAATATTTAATGACTAGAAAAACAAAATTACTGGGAATTGATTAACAAAAACAGTGTTTTTCAATTGGAGCTATATATCAATTTTAAAATAAATTGATATATGTTAATGTGGCTTTCATTTATGATAAAGGCAAAAAGATGATATGATTGTTACTCAATGCATACCTTAGTTTTTATGCATTATAAATAAATCACGTGACAAGTCATTTAAACCGATAATCAATAATATTAAAACAATGATTGGTGAACATTAATAACGGGTAGAAATTCATGAGAAATAAAAAAAAATATTGTAATAAATAATATAGGATCACTTTTTATATGTTATATTTAAAAATAATATTACTAAAATATAATAATTTTAAAAAAAATATAAAATATGAAGTTTAAAAGTGCAAAGGTAAAAATTTAAAGATAAATTAACGAAAAGTTATGATAATTTTATAAAATAATAAACAAACTTTTAAATGCCAAAATAATATCATTGCCAACAGTAGTTCATAAAAATTTGCCATTTTTTGTAATTTTTTAAAACATCATATTTTAGTAATTTTTATATAAAAAACAATAATATAATGTAAAAGAGAATAAAATAATTATATAACTATAAACCAACCTTTCATATTTTTCAAGTGAATCGGTCAACCCTCCCAATGTATTAAATAATAGATGGAGTTACCTTTCCCTAGCTTAAAAGATGGATATGTTTTTTTAATAAGATAGTAACTTAGTATTATAATTAATTAAATAGATAAATCATTTAATATTTTTTTATAAAACGTGAAATGATGGATCTAATTATCAATTTAAATTTTTTTATGATTAGCTTTATAAAATTAGATCTACATTATTGAGCAGAAAATCTCAAAGCAGTACTGGGCCAGGTCATAGAGGATTCCAACGTAGAACAATAAGATGGCATATCTCTCCTGCATTTTAAAATTTATACACTTAATTTGAATATAAAATTGATTTTGTCTCCATTTAATTTTATTTTTTAATTTTATATTTCTTTAAAAATTAAGAGGAAATTTTATTTTTTCTTATAAAAAATAATTATTGTTAATTTTAAATTAATAAATAATATTAGTGATTTATTTAAAAACTTATAAATATTTTTTAATATTTAAGATATTAAAAAAATCATAACAATTAATTTAAAGTAGTTATATAATATTTTTTCAAGCTACAAGTATCATACCAAACACTTATTTTATTTATTTTTAAGGATGTATGATATCAATATATTTTATTCTAAGCAAACTATTATAATGTAAGGGGTAAAATTGCTAATAAAATTATAAGTTGAAGATGATTCCTTAGCTGGTGGAGAAGAGAATCTTGTTCTCAGTGCAGCAATTACTAGAATAGAAATATTTTTTTGTGAATATTAATTAAAAAATCATTATTTATTTTATTAATTTTTTTTATCAATGTACATTATAAATTATAATGAAAGTATATTATATAATAATATATGTTATAATTTAAAAAATACTTTCAACTCCTTAATTATTATTCTAAAAAAATTAGGCCAGCTTAATATTATTGATAGATAGTTGAGTCTCTTATAAATATTAATTAATAATAAGGGATTTTGTGAATTGAATTGGAATAATTTTAGAAAGAGCGTAAATTTGCTCTAAAGTTAGATCTGATCCAACTCAATCCAATTAGAAATTATTTGGATTAAATTAAATCTATCCTATAAAATATCAATAGAAATCATTTTTTACAATTTGCTAGTTTATCAACATGTACAGATAAGAAAAAAACAAAAGGAAAGATTTTATGATTTTCCATGGTTCTTTTTGTAAAGTACTCTATATTTTTTTATAAAAGATTTAATTTATATTTTTCTTAATTATCCTTAACAAATAAAGTTGATACAATTTTAAAATAAAATTTTTAAAAAATTTTAATAGTAGAGTTAGATTCAATAATATTAAATGATGGTAAAATTACCATTTTATAATATTTTAAAAATTGATAAATTTAACTAAATTTATATATATATATATATTATAAAAAATTTTAGAAAAGTCTAGGTTTAAAATTGGAATTAAAAACTTTTATATAGAAACAGTTTGATCTTATCAAGAATGGGGAGTTTCAACTTTGAACAAAATGGACCAGTTTTTGAGGCTCAGTACAGTCACAAGCTTTGTCATTTTGTAATAATTGAAGGGTAAATTCGTCATGTTGTGACACTCCCTTCCCTGTGTTCTCACTAAAAAACTATTATTGCCGTTATATGTCGGTGGATCCTTCTCTCTCTTACGGTACAATTTTATTTTGTGATAAAAATGAAAATAAAATTACATAATCAGTAACAAAATCATTTCATTTTCAAGATCCAAGTCTTAAAAAAACAATTCATTTATTAGAATGGTTAAAGTATATTTAATAATATGATCTTACTTATAAAAAAAATAAAATATAATACTATTTATTAGTGGTCACATTCTCATTTAAAATCAGGTCTTATATATATGATTAATGTTTGAATATTTAAAATAATATTAATTTGAGTGATAAGTGACTTGTTGCTTAAGTAAAGTATTAAATTTAAATTTTTGTGTATATAATAAATTTTCAGTAATAAAATTATTTACCACATTTAAATACGTAATTTAAATAAAATTTAGATTTACTGTACAATTCAAGAAAAATTTAGATTAAACTCAATGAAAAAAAAAAATTGAAGTTCTTGAAGTGGCTAATATAGATGCTCAATAATGTACCCAAAAGAATCTCTCAAACTTGCCACTTGATAGGTAATGTGAACATGAAACCCCTTATGTTATAAAGCAGATGGTGACTCACAGTGCCCACATCCCCACAACATTGATGAAAATAACACAAAATATCTCCTTAACAACAACGTCTCTTTGTTAGGATGCACATGCATGCATGAATTTCAAGGCAACTCGCCTAGTATAGTCAACAACTTCAATAAAATCCAATCATCATCATCGTCATCAAACTCTTCCTAGTCCAATTTGAAATTTTGGCTGATTATAGATCAACAAAATACAATCCTTCTGTTCATGGCTAGTATCTCCACTTTGAAATTTTGGTTCATTAGTCATTTTCCTCACGTGTTTGGACTTCTTATGAAAAGAATCTAGTTTAATCATTAATTATATGTGTGATTAATCCTTTTCAAATTAAATTAATGTTTTAATATAACGACTAAACAATGTTTTATTTGGGTTTTGTAAAAAAAAAAAAGATAATTATTTACTAAAAATGATGTATGAAATATAGTGGTGTTTGAAATGGGTGTGGCTTGCTAGTTCATTTACGGAGAAAATCAAATTTTTTAAGGGTGATGGGTAATATTATAAAATTGTTTCAATTGTACAATAATTAAAACTAATTATAATAAATATCCCAATTATGAACTTAAGGTTATATGTTTGAATTTATTAAGAAGATGTGGCGGAAGAAAACAGAAAATTAGTAAATATAAATTCTAGTATTTGACAGTGAAGACAAAATAAAGAGAAAAAAGTGAATATAAAAAATTGTTTGCAATAACTGTAATAATTAATTTATTTTACATAACATAAATACAAGGATAAAATGAAAATTTTATCAGTCTTAAAGTTCTGCCTACGATTATCGTCACTTTTATCTGCAAATCCTTTCATTTTGGAGTAAAGCAAAATTTGTGAATTTTAATTGTTTTTCTGTATTTTCTCTTCAATTTATATCAGTACTTATAGATTTTTTTAATAAACTTAAGAGATCTAGAACAGATAAAATTTAAATAAGAATCAATTTTAAAAATATCAACCTTTTCGAGATGAAATTTATATATCTAAGCAAAAAGTTTTTTCAACCAAAATCAAAAGGGTATTCTCGAAGTTGATAAAATTTTAAATCATTGTCATGAAAGTAATCTGGATCTCATGAATATTCTAAGGATAGAAAAAGTGGAGTGTTCAAACCATTAACAAAATCATGACAAGATAAAAACCCAATAACAAAATGCAATTTACTATTTTATTTTATTTTATTTATCACGAGATGTCTCATGTTATAATGTTTCATACATTAACAAAAAATTATTCTCTTTTTTTATAACGATTTAGAGTATTTATATATTTAGGCTAATAAACTCAATCCTTCATTAATTCCTTCTCAAGTTTAATATTAATCTATATCGAAAACTCAACTAATTAATAGTTTTGGAAGCAGAAACGAGAAAATTGCCACAAGAATATCCACTTTAAAGACTCAAAAGCTTCAACGAGAATAAAAAATGGCTTTAACTTCATAGTTCATACTGTATGATCATGACTCGAGTCAAAAGTGACTGCCAAACTGATCCTTGCAATTAGCAATATGTCATTTTCTGAAAAATAGAAGAAAAAATTCACAAAAAGGTTGTATTTTAGTTAAGGTAACCCAAGTTCCCAACTTGTAGTAGTGTGATATAATCACATCTTCGTTTGTTTGTTTTTTTTAATATATATTTTTATATATGAGACAATTTTATAATATATCTCTTGGTTTACTTACTAAAAATATTCCCATTTGTTAACCGGATTTTCTCAGCATGCATCATCCAAGTTGTTGTGGGGCTATTATTAAAATCACTTTCACTATTTGAAAATAAAAATTCATACTATTTTAACTTTTCTTTTTATCTTAGTTATACAGAAAAAATTGCACACGAAAACTCAAAGTGACAATCATTTTGTTATATTGCTTTAATGTTCTAAAAAAATTTTCTATTCAAATAAAAACTTGAGGAAAGGACTAATTGGTTTTTGAAAGAGAAAACACAGACCACACTTCGATTTTAAAACAAAGTTATCATTTAATTCTTTAATATTTTGAATGTGAGATATTTTATTTTATTTTCACTTAAATTAACATTTTCATGAGTTAATTTAGATTATTAATGGTTTTGTTAGAAACTAAATTGATATATAATCTACTTTTATAAAAAAATAAATAAAAGGGGTACTAAAAGTAGTAAAATTGATCTAAGAACAATAATATCTTATGTTATTATTTTAAAACATAAGAATGATTATTTTAATTAAATTGATATACAATTTCCTTTCCTCTAACACTTTTTTTGGTGCATAAAAAAGAGAAATAAAAAAATTTAAAATAAAAGAGATAGACAAAGAAAATTGAAACCACTATGTTTAGTATAAGCTTGACTGCCATCCACACCGGAATAAATGAAATTTTTTGAAAAAATCTGCTAGTGGAGGAAGACCTCCTAAGGATAAGAGACATAGGACTAAAGAGAGAGCTAAAAAAAGATCTTTCGTATATAATCCTGCATAATCTCGAATGTTATCAGTTCCGGTACGTAGACCAAATGATACAATGCAAGCAAAAGTTCCTAGATACAATTAAGGAATAATAATAATAAAAAAAGAGTCCCATTACTTTTTTCGAGTCTAAACAGTATAGATTTAGCAAAGACAGTGACAGAGAGTGACATTCTATAATCTTTTTTTGACACATTATACGAGTAAAATGTTGTCTTTTAGTTTTAAAAGTTTTATTCCTTTAATTTAAATCTATTTATTATAATAAAATATTAACCATTATTAATAAAAATATGCACTATTTTTTAATTTAAAAATTATATTTAAACAAAAAACTGATGCACTACACAAACTTGCTAATGAATTATATTAAAATAACTTTTCTACAAATAGGGTTACAAAATGGATTCAAACTAGTAATTTTGTGGATTATATCACAATTTACCTCCAATGGTTCCATGCAAACCCTTCTCAAGAAAATAGCTTGACGTTATGATTTTTATTTAATTGTCCTTCCAATCTTGAATCTTATATAAACGTTCTATGTTGTATTTGCTTGATTTTTCCACGTTTATTTTGCATAAAGTTCATGTCTATAAGCCCTATAATTGTACTACTGGCTACCATGTCGACCAAGTCTTGGACTAATACTAAAGAGTATATGGGTGGGGTATATGTAAAGAAATTGTGACATTATAAGAACATTAATTTTCTTTTTATCTGCTTTTCTGAATTGCTTTCTTTATCATTATAAAAAATTTCCCCTTTAGCTGAGTTGGTATTTTGTCCATGCTGACCTTGTCACAAGTACTTGTCCTCTTGGAACGATTCAGCTAACAACAACCTCATTAAGTGTAGACAAAAGAAAATATCAGTACTCTGGTGAGGAAGGTGATGTTCTATGAAGTATGAATTACCCATGAAGCACATAACTGTCTCATGAAAAATGATGAATGTTGTCCCTTATAAACAGTGCACAATTCCCAATCAGCACATGGTATCAGTGGCCCACCAAAATTAAACCCTTACAAATTTTGCATCAAACACCTCACCCTATTTCAATGAGCTTTTTTTTTATTAAATTATTTTATTGCATGCACAAAGATATACAGTTCTTAGTCAATAAACAGTAAGAATTTTTATTAAAAATTATAACATTTAATGTTATCAATGTATTGAATCTCGTGATATAATGTAATTTCTAATAAAAATTACTATGTAAAGATTCTTACTATATTCTTAGTATACTTTAGACAAAAGTTAGAAAAACCGTTTCAATTAATAACTGAGAAAAATTACATTCCTAAGCAACAACATAGACTTTCAAATCTACAAAATGTCAAGTTTGAGATCAATCTTCTTTGTTCTGATTTAGAGTTAGGAAAATAACATGGCAAAATGCAAAGGTAGTAGTAACAAACAAAGAAATAATAACAAAGAAAGAGAGGTGGGTTGTTGGAGATTGGTTGATGAAGAGTGATCAGAGATTTCAGATGAATCCACAGCAAGAGGCATTCCATCACTGTTTAGGGAGCAGGATTGTGGGTCAGATCCATCACTGTTCAACATCAAAGCGCGAAGCACCGCAGAAACCGTGTGCATATAAGCTGTCCTATTCTTAGCCAGTAGCCATGTCAAACCCATGAGCTCACAATCTTTGTTGTGAATCTTGGTGGTCCTGTCTTCTGCTTTGCTTGTGTTTGAAGTCTTCTTGTTAAGCTGCGTAGAAATAACATTTCAATAAGAATATCAAGAGGGTGCATATGAGGGATTACACAAAACAAAAGAGGTTTGGTGCATCAACACTGCTTAAATGACATCTTTCTTGGTGTAACATCCACCCATAGAAAAATGGTCTTGGCTGCACAGTTGCACATTATGGCTAAAACACTACCTAATCAAAGATTTTAATATAGTGGCAATATGCCAATATGAAATTACTAAATTATTTTTTCAATGAAGCAACAACCTTGACTAATACTCTGGTGCTATTTATAAAAAATAAATAACTAATTCGTCAAGATTAATAAAAAGTAGTTATATGTCATAAATTTATAGTGTATTCTAAACATACCTATAGTAATAAATAGTCAAATTAAGAATTTAAATATTAAATGAATGAATATAAATAAGAATATAGAAAGAATTTAGAATTAATGTATCTAAAAATCAGTATTTGTTTCTTATATTTTGAACAAAAAAATAGTGATAGTTATTTCTTATAAATAGAAGTAGAGGGAGTCGGATATTAGAATGCAACAAAAAAAACATGTTACATCCAACATAAGACTTTAGATGATAATTTAAGATTTTGTAACAAATGCAAGTATTTTAGTGACAGAGGACAGCATTTCTGCAAACTGCTAACTAGAAGTCACTATGCTGTCATATATTTCTCACAACTGTCATTTATGACTTCGGTAGGCTAGGAACAAGAACAATCAAATTGACAATTTGTATGCTTTCTTTAACATTAAACAAATAAGTAATAGCACTACTTATCTATTGCACAATAAAAAAACTTGTTTCACATCTCACATTTTTTGAACCATTTTTTCTGATCAATCCTCAACCAATTATTTTGCAAGAGAGAGAGTTGCTAATTGCTAACTTAACTTTAATCTTAATACGAAGAATCCAAAACTACAACTTATTTTTAAGTAACAAGATCACATTGCATGTGCTTAGTAGTTTCTAGCTATGTTAAGGTTTTCATTTAAGAACTTGATTTTAAGACATTAGAGTGAAGTATGTTATTTTCCCTAAATTCTCACGTGATAAAATGGTTGCTGTGTTACAAAGTGTTCCCCTACTCCACTAAGGGTTCTTTTCACTTTCGTGGACCACACAAGCTCCAAAAGCGCGTGAAGAATTGAGCAAAAACTTAGAAAGCAACCAACATCCAGAAAAGAGAGAGAAAAAAAAAGAAGGCAACTTTACTAAATGCCAAGCATGAATGAAGAAGATGGAACGCAAACCATCTTGATTTTCTTCAATTTTCAACAAGATCCATCAAACTCTAACTCACAATGAACAAAGCAGAAACCCCAAAACATCCTCCCATAGAGATTTTTTTTTTCTTTTTAATAAATAAGGAAAACTCACCAAATAGAGGCTGTTTAAGCACTTGGAACACCCTCCAAGACCAGGGAAACCATTGACATTTGTGGTGCTACTCAAGCAATTCTTCTCCAACCTTTTTACACTTGCATCCACAACAAGTTCCCCACTTTGGCTCAGAGAAAATGCATCAGGGCAGTTCAAAGGGTGGAGCCTAATGCCACAAAAGCAATACACCACATCACATGTCTCATTTGGCCTTGTCAGTTCAATGCCTCTCACTTTCAAAGCCTTTCCCAACTCATTCATACAGCTTTCAGAGTCATCTGGCAGCAAAGGCATCATGTTATATGATGATGTGGCATGGCCATTACCATGCCCATGACCATGGCTACGATCTACTATGCCAAGTGCAGTAGAAGAGTATGCAGAATACAACCATGTTGCAAGCACAGGGCAGCACCTACTGTGGTGCAGTTCCATGTCGCCACCATCTTTTGTGACACCACATGCACTCTTTATCCCATCAAAGAACTCATTTGAGAGAGTAAGTGGGCAACCTGCAACATCAGATTGTTCTGGGAATGCTGGGATTGTTGTTGTTGTTGGTTTAGATGGGCTTGGGAAAATGGGCTTAAGGGTGGTTGCTGCTGGATCAGGCAGCCCCATATAGGAAGGGAAGTAGAGAATGCAGCAGAAGAAAAGGGTCTTGAGGTATGGTGCCTGATGAGACTGTGGGAATGTCAATGGCAACAATGACATGGTGTTTGAGATTGAAAGCGTCTAAGTCTAAGGTGAAGGGAATGGCAGAAAGGTGTCTTGTTTCGCTAACCAAAAAGAAAAGGGTTTGATTGTGTTGGTTATATGAGTAGGAACAAAGGGAAAGGCAAAGAAAAATAAAGGGTAAAAGATGGTGGGGTTCTTACTTCTTATATACCAGTAGAAAAAGAGCTGGTAGAGTGGTGCAAAGTTTGGCACTATGCTACCTCGTTTAGATATAAAATATTTACCCTCTAGTAAAGTTAACAAAGGGATTAGCACGTAGTACCATGACCAAATTATACATGGAAAAACTACATTTGATTTAGCTTGTGATTTGTGTGGTATTAATCTTGTTAAACTTTGATTCTGAGTTATATTTTTTTGATTATTTTATGGGTTTTTAAAAATTGTTTTCTTTTTTATTGTACTATGTATGGATCAGCATGTATAAACATAAGTAGGTAAAATACATTTAATATATGGTATTGTGTGTGCAGAGGGATGGTTAGTGTTTTCACATGATTGGGAGGGTTCTTATTGAATGAGTAACACAGAAGTGCCCATATCTTAATTGTTTCCACCAGCAGTTGTTGCAACCTTTATTCTTCTTCCCTTACTCGTCGTTCCTAATCATGGAAAAGAATTATGTGCTGTTTACGCTTTTTTGTTTTTTTTGTTTTTGTTTGTTAAGTGAATATTTATATCATATTTTTCAAGCTTTTATAATAACATTTATTTCCTTAATCAATTGAACTATAGGGATAAAGCTAAAAAACAAATAATTTTCACACGAAGTGTTTATACATTTTTTAATGTAGAATTTTTGCTTTTATACAGCATAATATCATACGAATAAAACCGTTACAATTTGGTAAAAAGAAATTATTAGCAAAATTGCTAATTGAATCTCCTAAGTAGGTTAATTAAAATTTAATTCCTAACCACGTAAATATGAAAATACTTTATTGAGAGAAAATATGTCTTGAAAAAGGGGCATTAGTTCTTGATTCATAAGCTAAAGCAATGAGCTATTTCCTTGCTTAACCTAAGAATTTCAGTTTTCATTTGTTTTCTTCCTCTCCAACAGACTGTCTTTGAACAAAGCTGTGACTTCATATGTATATCACTTCAACTTATAGATAGGGGAATACTCCAAATCATATTTAATGAAAATATAACAAAAAGATTCATGTTGTGAATTTTCATATATTCCTTTTAACTTTATAAGGCCAATCTCTTATTTTATTTCACTTGTCCTTGGAGTCATTAATAAAAGAGAGTATTTACTATTTGGCCAGATTCTCATTAATCAGTGCCTTCATTTATGTTGATTTTTGCTAATTACTTGAAAAAGGTTAAGGAATTGTTGACCAATGGCAGGAGTTTAAAATTTTGTACTTATTTCTAATAATTCCCATCATATAATCTATTGTAAAATACATATAATTCTTCAATGTGTTACATTGACGCATGTATTTTTATTACATGTCCAAGTGAGATATCATAATAATTAGATAAATTATACTATTTTATTATATTTATAATAATTAAAATTGTGTTACAAAAATTATCATCTTCTCTCTGTACTAATATTAAATTAAGAGAAATACTATTAACATATTCACTCATGCACTTTTGGTAAGAAAAAATTGTGTTTGGTAAGCTTTTTTTGGTAGGCTTCGAGCTCTGAGCTGAAGGAAGATTAGCACGCTTTGCAGTCTAAAGCTGTCAAGGAAGCGTATGGTTGCAAAGCAAAAGGCTTTACTCCCTTTTCTCATTATGAAACTTTTATTTCATGAGCCTGCTAGTGGTTAATGTCATGTGAAACCCTTTACTAGATATTCAATAAAAACAAAAGGAGACACCTTTATTGCATATTAGATCAACGTGTCGCAATAAATACTATATAATATACCTTTTTTTCTTTTAAAAAATGTTATATAAACTGTTAGGCTTAAGTTTAAGAATTTAACAATAGTAGTTTTTTTTTATTAAAAACTTTTATATCTCTGTAATAAATATATTTTCTAATGAAAACGTAATATAATTGATACTTTAACTCGTAAAATCACTTTTCTTATACTATAATTTCTTTCTCTTTCTCTCTCTATGTATATCCGGGGTGTTAAGTGAGGTTCTTTTTCTTTGTTTCTGTTTTGGTCAACCAGTTGAGATGAGAACAGAGGCTAGGCTATTTTCACAACAAAAGCAAAGGATTCTATAAAGGAATGTATTATTTAGGTGGTATGTATTTTTTAAGATAAGCAGTATGGTTCATAATTATATCTTTACCTTTTTAATTTTATGAATGATTGCATCTCCACTACGAATGTAAGTAACATCAACCATGGTAACGGCCACAAGGTTAAGGTAAGGTTCTTACCTGAATTTAATTTGTAACAAAACAGTATTGAAAGGCTCTCGATGCGTGAAAACTAACACCACATTAAGAATTTTGGGTTAAAACTCTAATTTCGCAGCACTCAACACTTGTGTAGTTTTTGTACAATTGGTACAAAAGGAAAAAGATACCTTCTTCATTTAAGAAACTTGATCATTGGTAATCTTTTGTTGACTTATGAAACCAATCACTAAAGTGATCTAATAATCAGTGACCATTTCAGCTATATTTGCTATTTTTGTAATAATGATGATAATAGAGATACAGGTGTAAGATAAAGAAAAATATATCGTAGATGGAAGAGGGTATCAAAAACCCTCTTAAATAAAAGTCAGGACTTCTTGATTCCTATCCCATTTTTCTTCTCTAGTTCTCTCCCTTCTCCATTAGTTCTTCAATAAAAGCTCTTCGGAATAATTTTCCTAACACCAGTAAAGATGATGGAATGAAGAAGAGGGTAAATCTATTCTTTCTAATTGAATAACATCATAATAATGATGAAGTAATTTAGCTAGTCAATCTAACACAAAAATAAGAATATTACTCTGCTTCTATCCAAATAAAATAACACTAGCAATATATAAAACCGATTATCTAAGAGGTCTGTGACTGCAATTCCTAGTAAGTTAATTAGTAGCATCATTGCAGAATTTTGCACTTTAGCATGTAACGAGTAGAGATACAACAGGAAGGAAAATCTTCTTGGGGAGGGAACTATGATATTACTGGACCAACTTTCTCGATGATAGCAATGGCAAGACCCCTCGTGATGAAAATGCATAAACCACACTGAATTTCTCTCGTAAGGATCAACAAAGTTATTATTTGTTTGGTTCTTGTTAATATTTTAGGTAGCAAATCCCTCTGCCAACAATGAAGAAGTTGTAACAATAAATGTGAATTGGATGGTCTTCAACACTAAAGAAACCACTAACCAATCTCTAAACTTTGTTATGCATGTCTATGCTATCAAATTGAGTGTTCATGTTATATGTTAATGTGCTCACACTATTATTTGCCAATGAAGAACTTGATTACAAGTGGAAGAACATTAGATGTCAAGGCCAGTGGCTAGGAGGAACCACGATTGCTATGATTCAAAATGGCTTTGTATATTTTGCATGAAGTTCAAGAACTGTGAAGGTGGGATTAACAACAGCAAATTAGTGGTTATCACTAAGAACAACATTGATGATTCAAAGCAACTAATAAGTTTTACACTCAACAATATAGATGAATTATCCGCACACTAATAAGATTTAGAAGGAACAGAAATATCAAGCAATGTCATAGCTGTGTCATGTCCACTGCCCATGGATATACAAGCAGAGGAGAAAATTTCTACCCTCATGATTTTGAAATATTCTGAAGCTGTTTTATCACTGAATGGAGGTAATCCTGGAGGAACTTCTTGATAGTTGTCCAATTAACTAATTGCATTTGTGAAGAATCATAGAAGAGCTGAGCTTCTAGGAGCTTTTACCCAGATCATCATTCAGGAATTTCCAAAAGCCAAACCATCACTCACACATAGAAAGGGGGAGAGAGATGGCTCTCCCGTTTTCCCCTTCTTTCCTTGGGCCACAATAGCTTCCCATACATCAAACTCACACGGTTTCCAAGAAAATAAGCTATATAAAACACGGACCCAAATCTAGTGCAGTTTTCGTCGAAACGTGCATTTAGGCAAAAATTTGCATTTTGGCTTAAACGAAAATATATGGGCTTAAGCGAAAATGCAAAAACACTTAAAAAAATTTGGCGGGAACTGCACTATCCAGATCCTATAAAACACTCCTACCAAGCTGTGGAATACTTTTTAATAATGTTGTGAGATGTAACCAAACAATTACTAGCGTCCCAATTTATTTGAACATGCATACGTAGGACCTGGCAAAACATATATGTAAGGACTAGAAGAACTATGACAACAGCTATGTGTGATTTCATTTTAAATTTCAAATATGTATTATAGACAGTTTAGGAAAATAAGATCAAGATCAGATTTGAAATTGCTATGTTTCTACTTTGTATCTGCTGGACATCTATGCACAAACTATTAAGCCTAGTTCCATACTTCTTCATGGAGTTTTGCCCATTCATCATATAATGATATTCTTTGCACACACATTAAGCATCTAAAAATTTCTGTGTTTTTCCTCTGTATCTCTTACATGGTAGACATTTTCTGGAGTAACTGCATACATTATGTCTTTAGCATTCGTTATAAGTTATGTTTGTCCATGTCACTTACAATAATATTACAAGGGTATAAATATGACTATGTTTTTTAATTTGCTTATTTCAATTATGACTTATACTAATTTAATTTTTTTTAGAAGGTTGTTCTAATTTAATAAATTACAATCCAAATTGTTGTCATCCAGTAAAAAAAAAAAAAGCATATTAAAATATAAATAGTCGTCTAAAAATAATAAATAAATAAAAGAATGATAAGAAAGCACAAATAACATGTCTTTTATAGATAATAACTTAATTTGAAAAATAAAGAATATATTTATTATTTTTTTAAATTGTTTAAATTTATATTTTTCAAAAATGAAATAATAAATTAACAAAACTTATGTATTAATATTTTACTCATTTTTATAACTTTATATAGGTCTCTATTAAAAATAAATAAATTTCTTCCTTCTTTTTTCTCTAGAACCTAACTCTAAAAAAATCCTAAAAGTTTTCAAATTTCAAAATATGCATGACACAAAGATAGTACATGTTTAATATATTCATCAAGGTTTACTATCTATTACACAGGTTTAACTAAAAATTCAATAATATCAACCAGTAACCCATTAACTAAGAAGTTAAACCGAATTAATAACCAGTCTGAGTTATATAACATTGCTATTATACAAATATATACTTGCATGACTTGCAATGATAGCACAAAATGCTAGTTCATGACAACAAATCCTACCATTAGCTTCTACATTCCCCCCCTTTCTACCAAATGTAGGGTTTCTGTGGAATAACTCAAATTTTCTTTTGTGGAAAGGCGCATAGGCTTCTGAATCTCCATCAAAGTTAGATAAGATAGAATTATGAATCAAGTTTGAACTAAGCAGGTACGGCAGCAACCTTCTCTATCAACTCATCCATGGTCTCATCATTGACCTTTGCAATTGACTCCTCCTGTGTAAAAAGAAATACAAACAACATAATCAAAGGTAAAATGCATCAAAAGATTAAATTTGAAAATAAACATATTTAAAGGAATATGTTTGTTGTAAATAGTCAGATCTGTTGACACTAGGTATTAACTTGGTCACTTACACTTAATAATTTTTCATAAAATATAATATTAATTATTAATCTAATTGTTGCTTTGAATGTTCTTATTAAATAGATTGATTTTATAAAATTTCATAAAAAATGAAAATTAATAAATACTTTATCATATTGAATAATATAAAATAATTCAATAGTTAGATTAGTTAATTTTACTATATTAAAAGGTGTAAATGTCCATATATATATATATATATATATATATATATATGTAATACTAAGAAATATATGGAAGAGTAAAATTAATGTTAATAATGCACTAATATTACTAGATGAAACAAGGAAACCATAATTAATTATTGGATATTCTAATGCTTTGAAACTCTCCAACCGTACTTGAAAGGAGAATTAACTACCTCTGCATCTTTATTTTGTTTCGCATCTATGCACTTTGAACCACTAATGCTGGCACTCTTCAACAGGCTACGTGCACTGTAGTTTCCAGAATCTATCACATCAGACCCTGGAGAACTTTGAGCATTTAATCCAATTGGATTTTCAGCATCATTGTCTTGATTATTTTCATCCTTTGAATTAGGAACTCGTTCTCTGGAAATTTTAAATTCAAACAATCAATGAATGGACAAAGTTTGAAGACACAATTGCCGACCTCATCTATGAAGATTGTAAAAACAATACTAATTTGGATTTTAATTTAAAGCCCATGATGGTGATAAAAAAATAAAATAAAATAAACCTTAAAAAAAAACGAAAAATGTTGTCAACATTCAAAGTTAGCAAATCTAAGACTCGAACAAGTTCACCGAGTTTGGATCTAGACAATGTCAAGGAACCTCTATGCTTAACCAAAACTTACCTAGGTAAGGAGGCATGATGTCTCAACAATATTGGAGTGCTTCGTTCACCTTTGCTGTAATGCTCTTCAAGATGTGCAAATTGTCGCTTGAATCGATCAACTCCACTGCAACAAGATAACATAGAATTACTAATTAAAATCCTTGAAATACAATAGTCTTAAACATCCCATAATATATTCTTCTCATATATATTACATGCAGAACAATGACAAATAACCACCAATTGCTTTTTAAAAGTCAAAACATGTACAATAATTACATCCACAAAAACTAAACATGAATACCAAATGTTTTTACTAAGAATCACCTTTGCTATATAGGAAATTGCATATAAAAAATCCAACAAAACCTTGGTGCAACAAAAAGAAATGTATGGAAGGGATCCTCAAACCAACGGCTTCAAGTTTCAAAATTATTTCAATTATGAACAATAATATACAAGTTTCATTTTCTTTTTTTGAAAAAAAGAACTACTAAATAAATATTTAGCCCATTGAATAGTTTATTTTGAAACCATCATATGAGAGCTTTATAAGAAATTTGAAAAGCCAGTCTAGTTAAGGAAAGGAGAGTAGACTAGAATTTTCAGTCACTAGTGCTAGTACTACTTTACCTTGGATACATAAAGCTTGTTTGATCTCCACCTTGAAGATATTCTTGGAGCATTTGGGGATGGTACTCTAAAATCTGTTTAGTATAAAGGTATAAAGGTAGAAAGGCACAAAGGAGGAGATAATGAATTGAAGCAAGTCATTGAAATGTAAGGGCATACCTCTCGATAAATCAACTCTCTAACATCATCTTTGGTCAATTTTTTTCTCTCAAACTCAAACTCAAATTTTGAAATAGGTTGAGTGGATGGCTCACGATCCACACTTGACAAACCATGGAAATAAGGATCACTTAGTGCCTACATTAATCATAACCATAACTAAGAAGTAAGAAACCTAGGAAATTTATCTACATAACTATGTTAAAGATGTTTTATTTGGTACATTGAATGAAATTTCTTCTTTGGTGGTTATTTAGGTAACTAATTGAAGATCAACCTCTTCAGCTGTTGGACGGTCTTTGGGATCAAATGCAAGTAACCGCCCTAGTAAATGAAGAGCCGATGAATCTGCATTTGGAAATTTTTTAGAGAATGGAACTGGTTGCTTTTTTCGCATGCTACTAAGGTACCTTCTAGCTTTCTCATTTCGGATCTGTAAGATTAATATTCAAAATTATCAACAAGAAGACATGGGAGAGGAAGTACAGTAAGCTTAAAAGAGATTTTTTTTTGGCTATTTTTTAAAAAGAGAATTTTAACAAATCTTAAGGTACATCTGAAAAACGTGAAACATGAAATGTTTTATTAAAATGAAAAATATTAGCAATACATTCTTTATTTAATTCCTCTATTTTTTTAAAAAAATTCTAAGTAACATTTAAAAATTGATCAATTTTTAAGACAAGTGTTTCAATATTTTAAAAAAGATTATTCATAAGTGGATTGAATGATGTGTTTAAAAAGCATATTACTAGAATTCTCTTGCATGAAAATAGGAAAAATAGAAGTTTGTAATTAATATTATTAGTGATTACAACTTGTCATGAATTTGTTTATCGATGTTTATGTTGACTAGCTTTGGATAAACTCACCTTCGAAATGGTTTCAGCTGGAGGAGTACCAAGCAAGTCAGTTATGAGATCCAATTGGTGCACCACATTTTTCCCAGGAAACAATGGTTTTCCACTGAGCATTTCTGCATATATGCATCCAATGCTCCAAATATCAATTGCTGGGGTATACTGCAAAAGACAAGGATTTAAAATTACATTACTGTATTTAACTTCAGGGTATGTTATTGCCAGTCACGTCTCTATTGTCACTCTTAAAGTAATTTTTATTTAAAATTCTTATTTTTAATTTTTCTCTTATAACTATATTAATAATAGAGATATTTTAGACAAAACTTATTTAAATAGGAGTAGTAATAAACAAGGGACAGACAATAGACATTTCTTTAATTTCATATATCATACACAATGCAAGTAGGGAACGACTGAAAAGGTAACAATTCTAGAACGTAAAAAGCTTTTGCAAAAAGATAATGAAACTGCAACTAATTAAAACATAATGACATATATGTAGTAATTGATATTTGATAAATATATATACAGACTACTATAGCAACAAAAAAAAAAAAAAGGCCTACGAAAATACCATAAATCACAATTCCTTTAAATATAGGTAAACTACAAATATATTGGATCTAGTTCTTGTTATTTTGGATCTTGTCTTATCATCCCTAATTGTGTCTTCTTCCTTTCTCTCAGAACATTCTCTCTCTCTCTCTCTCTCTCTCTCTCTATCTATCAATCTATCTATCTATATATATATATAAAGTATTTTCATGTAATATATGCATGTCAAACTAGCATTCAGAATTGAAAGGTATAATGAGAGAATTGGACTATATTACATAATTAAGCATATTTGGATTTGGAGCAAAAACAGTATAATTACATTTCACAAGCTAGAGAGAGAGGATGCAAGTTGCAAAGAATACAAGAAGCTTACTTTTGAGAAAAAAGAACCACAAAGTTCAGGTGCACGATACCACCGAGTTGCAACATAGTCCTTAGCAAAAGTAGGTAAAATTAAAACAAAAAATTTAGAAGCTTGTTAAACAGAAATGTTAGATACACATTATGACACATGTTTAATTATTGACTAAAATTTATTAAAAATTATAAAAATATATTGTCTCATTTTTAATTTAATAATTTTTTAATTTAATATTTCTCTTTTATACTTCATAATTTTTAATAAATTTTAACTAATAAATAAGAGTGTATTGAAAAGAATTTATTAAAAAAAATGTCCTTGTCATATCAATCCTCAATCTTAAAAGAAAGAAGCAAAATAGAATTAATTAGTGCAACAATTTGCTAGAATACTAACAGTCCAGAATATAGCTGATGGAGCCTCGTTAAATGAAACTCGAGCAAGCCCAAAATCACATATTTTTAGTCTGCAATCAGCATTAGCTAGAATATTTTTTGGCTTCAGGTCACGATGAAACACATTTGCTGCAAAAAAAAAATATTGTTTTAGCTTAATATCACTATGTGCAAAAGTCAAAGACATAATTACAAGGATACCCGTATGTATAAATTTTAGGCCCCGAAGAAGTTGGTACAAGAAAAATTGGTAGTGCTCAGGAGTAAGATCATCATTTGCCTTAATTACTTGATGAAGATCACTCTCCATCAACTCAAACACAACATAGACATCCTTGAACTCTCTTCTTGAAGGTGGAAGCATTATATGCTTGATTTCAACTATATCAGGATGTCGAAGCAATCGAAGGAGTTTAATTTCTCTAAGAATTCTTGTGGCATCTGATACATGCTCAAAAACATCATTGATTTTCTTTATTGCAACCTTTTCCCCAGTGTGAGTGTCATTAGCAGAACACACAACACCATAACTCCCTTTTCCAATCACTTCTTGGACTTCATACCTACTTGCCTCTCCATACTCGGTAAAAAACTCTACCTCTGCTGAACCCTGTTTGAGAAACCAAACACCATGGTGCAGAAAGAGGCAAATAACGTGTAAATTAAACATTTTTTTAATGTACTATAATTTAATTTAATTTTGTCTTCTGACCTATAAATTATATGTAAACTACAAATGTAAGAAGTATAAAAAAGAATAACTATATTATATAGGAAATAGTCAAATGGTAGAGTATCTTGCACTTCACATATAGTGACAATGTTTAGAAACTTGACAATTCTTTGTATTACATGCCATTTGTGATAGCTTGTCACGGTCAAGAACTAGAAATTTGAGGACAAACAATATCAAATCCTACTTTGAGATAAGTCATGAGTGCATGAGGATAATCAAAATCATGCTAATTGCTAACTTTGCATATTCCTCTTTATTTCCCATTGATAAGAAAATATAGCATTAACCATGATAAAGCTAACTTGATATGAATGCTACCTCTTGGTTTTTTTTTTTTTTTTTTTATCATAACCAAGAAGCACGAAATGAAATCTATTATATAGCTCCCTATCTTTTTTGCATATTCCCAAACAAAACTTGAACGATATTCTACATTACACCAAACCTATGATTAAAAAAACACTGACACATACTAAATAAATGGTAAATAAAAAAACAAAGCAAAGAACCAAACTAACACACAAAAGTCAAATTTTGGAACTTAGAAACGTCCATTGCCAGCAAAGTCAAACTACAGCAAAAATTTAAAAAGGTATGATCTTCATTTAGACGAACAATAAACGTGGAATAAAAAAAAATATCTTTTTAAAGGGACCTTTTTGTGATGATCCATGGAAGAAGGTTTGTGGTGAGAGCGTGAGGGCACTTTGAGAAGGTTGAAGTAAGAGGTATCGAAAAAGACTTAGTCGGTTTCGTGAGTAGGAATGTTGCCCAAACTCACGACAGCAATGTTGTTGTTAATGTTGTTGGCATTGCATTTAACATCAATGTTATTGACATTGTTGATTTTTGGTGTTATGACGATGGTGATGAAAGTGAGAGTTAATAGAATTGTGTCAATGGAAAAGAAGCAATGAATGACATTCACACAAGTGTTCCTCCACCACCCATATGCATTGCTTACTCCTCAATCTGCGCTACTCCAATCCACTATTGCGTTTCTCTCTCTTCTCTTTAGTTCATTTTCTTTCCTCTCTTTATAGTGTTTTATTTACTTTTTCTTTTTTTAGAATTTTCTAAGCGCAACGGCTATAAAAAAACATGAAAAGAAAATTTCAATTGTCACTAATATCTAAAGGACGCCTTTTAGAATTCTAAAAAAAAAAAACTTTTGTGAAACTATTCAATTGATTGTAATATAACCATCGTATATATCTTGAGTAATTAAACTTAAATTATTAATTTTTTTTATCTATAAGCACAAATAATTTCTTTTAATAATTCTTCAAAAAGTTCACCATAATCCAAAATTGCAGTTCCCCATCAGTAGCCACAGTTGCAAGCAAAAGCCTCTATCATAAGCTTGTTTTTGCATTTCAAGTTTCATCTATGGCGTTCAGGCCACCACCTTCCTTTTTGGTCTTTTCATGCCATTGCCCTTGATTTCACACACAAGTTTGATATTTTACAGCATGTTAGTTTATGTCAACAAATTTGTAATCCATAAAGTTCAACATTCCACTTGTTAAGGACTTCGGGTATGCAAATATTGGCTCATCATATTGAAGCCCCGTGCACAAACTTTTACTTTAACAAAGTATGATAATTGATTCCAGCGAAACAAAGTTTTCAAAATGTTACGAGCCACCAGCCAATAGTATGAGTAAATAGTTTTAAACTATTTAAACCTAATTTTCTTTGTAAGATTTGCTACCTAAATAAATTGTTAGTATTTTGAATTTAACTCTTTTAAAATAAAATGAGAAAATGTATAAAATATAAAGTAAGACTTTATTTATTGAATTGAAATAAAGCATTATATATAAAATTAGCTTTACATTAATAATAGACAAATATTTGCTTTTTAAATTTACCTCTTCCTCATAGTAGAAGTATTCACATGTCCCACTCTACCAACACAACCCAACTTAACACGTTAAATAATAAATGGTTGGTTTGAGTAAATTGGTATTTTGGATATATATATATATATATGTATGTATATATGTATGTATGTATAATTTGATTAAGTATGAGTCACACGGTAAGAGTGAAAAAACTTAACTCATCTTATGTGTTGCGTTGTGACTTATGTGTATTTCCTTACTAAGTCTGTCTAAATCCTAATTTTTTTAATCCTCAAATGATATTGATTTCTCAATTTTCTCTTTGAGTATCCTCCTTCTCTCTTGTGTTGTGACTTGTGTGCATTTCCTTCCTGTGTCAATCGGTGAAAAGTGAAAACGCTTATCACCATTGTTGACTCACCTGACGTCTTTATTGTTGGGTATTCCTCTTCATCTTTGATTCTTCCTCAGTTCTTGCATGCATTTCTCCTTTAAGACTTTCCCACGACTTAACCCCTCTTCTATTTTAATCTTTTCCTCATTGTTATAACGACGACGGATTCCCTCATACTATCTAAAGACCTTGTTCATTCATCAAGGAAGTTTTCTCTTGTGCACATTTTCCTAGGTCTTCCTCTTCAATTGAAAACCCTCACCCTTCTTCTAATTTTTTTTTGTCATTCTTTGCTATTTTGTTCTTCATGTAAGGAATTTGTTTCATTCTATAATAGTTGTCAACTCGATTACCCAACCTAATCCAACCTATGTATGGCGGGGTTGGTTTGGGTCAACTAAAAATAAAAATACACAATTAATCAACCAAATCTACAAGATTTTAACCGTTGTGTCATTTTTTATGACCCAAATCAATCCATGAACACTCTTAACTCATAGTGAAAGGGAGAAAATAAATAATGTTTAATTTATTAAACTTATATTGATTAAGAAAGTGATAATTCAACCAAACACAATTTATAAGTTAGAATAAGGGTATTCTAAAAAAATTAAATATGTGTTTACGGTGAATAATGACAATTTGTAAACAAATAATCTAAAAGCAATTCGGAGACTGAATTTAAGTCCTTTTGAGTTCTTTTAAGTGTGTTGTTAACGTGATGCTCAAATTGGCGTTGTAAAGTAGAGGATTAACCATAAATAGCAAATGATGATTACACAGAGCTTAATCAAACGTAGAGATTTTTACAGAAATGTGCTAAACAAGAACTAAGTTGCAAAAACATAAATACGCAGAATGAACTAAAACAAATGCAGAAATGTAAATGTGTAAGAAAATAAATGTACGACTCTCCACAACAATAAACAATAACCACCTTGAATTCCCTTGGTAGCTGGTGTCTGGCGCATTGCAGGGTTTCAGCATGCAGAGAATTTAGGTACGGTATCTGGGTGCAAAAAGTCGTCCTCTAGAAAGTGAAGCTTTGAAGTATTTATAAGCAGAAGGACCATTCCCGTTCTTCTTCTTTTGCGGGCACTTCTTAGTAATTGCCTTCAACTACTGATACCCATTATTCACGATTGCTTGTGATCGTGGTGTCGGTTGGAGCTTCTTCCATAACTGCTATCGCCCGCGATCTTTCTTCATGTAGTTAAACCTTTGCGTGGTGGTAACTGCTGATAACCGTTGACGACTACTTCTGAGCCTTGCAATAACTTTTGAGTTCTATCTGGACTTTTGTTTTCTGTCTTTTGAGCATTTCTAGGAGAAATCTAAGAAGCTCATTTAACTTTGTGGACTTAGAATAATTTTTCCTTTGATTTCTATTCTTTGACTAAATTTGGGGGACATGAGAGCTCTTTCTGGTCACGTGAACTTAGAATATTTCCTTTGCTCATTCTTTCTTTTGAGCAAATTTGGAGAAGATCTGGAACTCGGTCAGGTCTGTGGACTTAGAATATTTTCTAATCACTTCCTATATTTTGAACACTTCTGCAGAAGCTTTGGGGCTCAGTCAAGTTTGTGGACTGATCACTCTTGTTTTCGAGCAGTTTTGGAGAAGGTCTGGGACTTTGAAATCCTCGAAAAACTCCTTGAATGACCCTTAGCATATTCCTCTTGTCAATCTTATTTTTTGGCCAATTTTAAACATCTTTAATCCAATGACTAGAAAAGCTTAAGAAACTTCTTGAAGAGGCTCTCAGTCTTGTGGACTTAGAATAATTTTTTACTATTCTCCTGTCTTTTGAACAATTTTAAAGGAGATAAGAGATGTAATAAAAACCTCTAAAACAACACATTTTTGACAAAAATTACGATTCTAAACAACCTTCCAACACTTCTTAGATTTGGACCTACATTTTACTAAAGAATGAGGCTCCTTCTTCGACCCTCTAAAACTCGTTGAAATATAGCTTCTTCCAATATGATTTTATAACTTAGAAAATTTTTCTTATCCTAAACAATATACTCACTATAAAAATATTAATCAATTTAATCTATTTTAGGAACTTAAATTAGTGTTAAAAAATATTAAATTGATAAATATATGATTTTATGTTGTACTAGAAAGGAAGATAGAAATTATGTGAAAAAATGGTGGTATTTTAGTCCCAAAATATTGTCTTCTCCTAAAGACAATATTGTAATCTTTTAATTTCCAACATTTTTCAAAGAAGAAGAAAATAAGGTAGTGGTCCTCTTGTAAAGTTATTGCAGAAAGCTATTATGTGAGTACCATTTTTTACTTGGTTGGTTTAGTTTATGTAAACATTTTCAATTACTTTTAAGTTGTTATTTGTGTTACTTTTTTTAATTTATGTAAACTTCGTATGCAATATTGTTATTTTTATTCTTTTATTTCTTTTATTTTTTGTATATGCGTATTTCAAAGATACTCCTAAAGTCAAAGGCTATAATTTTAGTTTTCCATTTTAGTTGTTGATAAAATATTTTTCGTACATTTTTAGTTTTACGTGAAACTATTTTTTATTTTTTATTTTATATATAGACTAAAAAAGTGAATAATTCTTAATTTAAAGTATGATTACTCTTTGACCATATACTTACATTTCAAATTTAATTTTGATTCTTTTTGTATAATATCAACATGTCTATATAAAAAGGGATTTGTATTATAACATGATATAATGATGTTTAAAAGAGAAGCACACAATTTAAAAATAAATTAATTAATTAATAGGTTCTTTAACTAATTATGGTGAGTATTTATTTGATAAAAAAATTCTATTTCCTTCTTTAATATATGATCATAACATATTACTTAATAACATAGAATTCAAATTCTATATTAAAAAAAAAAATTGTTAACCTGCCCTTAAGTTAAATTTAAATATCCATAAATAAAAAAAAATTATAAAAAAATAGACAGTTATTATATTAAAATTATAAAAATATAATAAATATTTTTCTTTCTAATTAACTGCTTATCTTCAACTCTTAGAGTTGAAATTAACAAAATTCTTAAAAAGATGCTTAAACTTGGAAAATGTTACTTGACATAAAAGTAAAACAAGCATTCATAACTATTGGAACAAACTGAAAGCTAACGAGGCTACTGAATTCTTCATCTTTAGTCCCCTTCCTCTTACCTCTGCTGTTTTGGTTTCCCTGCCATCTCCTTTGTTTTCCCTTCTTTTTCATGACTGTCTCTTCTTCAAGTTCCCAACTTTGCTCCTCCACATTTTACGTTTTTGAGTCCTTCCTCGCTTGCAAACAGGTTTAGGTGTCTCCACATCATTTATAGCTATAATAGGTAAAAAATGGGCATCAGGGTCGGTCACATCTATATCCAAACATGAATGTTTCAAATGCAATTGTGGGGTTTTCGTGTGTTTTGGGAGTGAATAGAAACCATTATGATTTGTCAAAATCTCTCCACTTCTTAATAGC